ATATAATGCTAGCTCATGGCTCATACAAATGATGTACCTCAGTCATCTTGACAATATCAGCAACCGACAAATAGACTGCACGGATGGTGTAGTGGTTTAAACGGTCGCCACGTCGCTATCTACACCGCTGAGTGTTGCCAGTTCGTTCCCCACATAGGACAACATTTTGATGGATTCACAAATTGTTGTTCTGAGTCTCGGTGTTCTTTGTGTCCGTTACATGTATGTTTGTGAAGTCCCCCGCGACACAGGATATATTCCTAATGCTGGAATTGTCTTTAAAAAAAACAAACCCCTCCTTTTCTCACGGTGGTAGGTACATACCTATATTATCTAGTAGGTAGTCATGCTAGTAGGTAAAACGAAACGGGACACTTGTCTTTTGTACTTTAAAATAGATCGAGCATTTAACACATCACATGTAGATACGTGTAAAATCTTTATACAGAAATAATAACAAAAGTCATACACAAATGATTAAAAACGAATAATAGTTATTTCACGTACAATTAACCACAAAACTAAACTTCATATTCGTCACAACCGTGAACTTTATCACGCGAACGACGCATTATCGATACTTTAGTTTAAATAGCTAACAATCAGTAGGTAATTGGTTGTTACAAAGCTTGACAGATTACCTAAGAGTCATCATTTAAGCAAATCGACATCAGAACCATTAACTGTAAGAACAGGTATAATAATAAGATTTCATAAGATACAGAATCTTATCTTATCTTTAAAAATAAAATATAAAAGAAAAGATTTTAAAGACGAAACGTCTGTTATGCCTTAGCAACAGATTTTTGGGCTTCAAGGCAAAAGATTATAAAACCATAATGTGCATGTAAAAAAATATATACTTAAATATATATATTCGAGTGTACTTGATTGCTAGTAACTACTAAAAGTTCACCTAAAAATAAATTTATGTTTTTATCTATACAATTCTTTACTTTAACTGTTAAGTTTGGTCGGTTAATTAATTAAATTAAATAAGTATACTTTACTTCTCCTTTTTCACGACGTTTTTTTAGTCCAAAATTATGAGGATAAAACTAACTAAAATAACATATTTAATACAATACATAATTTTTATTAAACACACTATTTGTATACAATCCATTAAATACTCAGTGGTTTTTATATATTGACATCATCGCAAGTCATCAACTGTTACGCAGGTTGATAAATTTCTCGCTAGTTTTCCATTTTGTCAGTATCCGAAAGTTTATTTTCTTAAATTATTTTGAAAGTTTCGCTGAATTTTCTGTGATACACATGCAACTTCTTAGGCTGAATATAATACCTACCTATTTATTACTAATTACCTAGAAACCTTTATGAGAGTAACAGTTTTTTAATTTGTATATGGGTCCTATCTCGATGTATTCTGTTCAAAACATTATTAAAAGTTATTGGATGAATAATTGGTATCATCTAATAAATTAATTTTAACAATCTAATTTCCTTCTCAAACTTTCGCTAAATGTGACAATTACTAAAACAATAATAAATGAAATCTGATATTCTGACACCTTTTTTTTTAAATCGGTGTATGCTTTGCGCATCAACTCTCTTGTAATAATTATAGTAGGACCAGCTTCTTATAATTACTATTGGGACTTTGGTGAGACATATGCTGTGATATGGAGCATTGTCCTTTACAGTCACGTAATGGCGGTTAATACAATATTATGCATATGTATACGTAGCATATATTTATCAGCTATTTTTAGGGTTCCGTACCTTAAAAGGAACAAAAAGGAACCCCTATAACATCACTTGCTTGTCCGTCTGTTCGTCTGTCCGTGTGTCACCACCGATTTTCTCAGAACGGATAGACCTAGCAAGTTGAAATTTATACCAAATACTGAAGTCTATGGTCCCTATTAGGTGTATAAAAATCAAGGTCCTGAGTCAACACGATAAAAAGATATGGGCAAATTTCGATTTTCGCGAAAACTTGTAAGGACCAAAAAATAAAATAAGTTTCAAATTTTCGTGAAAATCTACGTTCTGGGTAGGTACGGAACCCTCAGCGCACGAGTTCGACCCGTACCTGACCGGTTTTTTTGTAACATTGCCGCCACGGCTCTGCAACACCAAAAAGTTTGTCTGAAAAACAATGCATGTAGCATTAAATTCACCTTCTGTAATATATTTGAATAAATAAATAAACATTTGGAAGTAAAATTTTAGTTAATCATGACTCGAAGGGGTTACTATTCTCCCTCCCTCAAATATACGCTAATGCGACTTGTCGTTAAATCACCTTTTAAGCCTCTACATAAGCGGAAAGAATTATAGTACACAATTCTTTACGTAACCTCGAGTGAGAGAACAAGAACACTTCTCAGAAAATTATCAGCTTCACAAGTGCACCAGAGACAGGTGCCAATAATGGCAATGCCTGCCGGGGGTTGCACAAGAATGCGATGGCGATCCTAGAGCGCCTGATTACAGGCAAGCAGTATTTTTACTTGGCAAGAATCCGACAGACCACCTCGCCATCAGGAATGCAGAGGATATCCATGAGAATCGTCCAGTCTAAGCGCCAAAAACCAAAAAGTTGAGTATACGCACTACGCGTAAGATATTAGGTACTTCGTAATTTATTTAAACATTGCATCATAGGTTGCAGTGCCTTCCGCCATAATATCAATTAATTGCAAATTATTTTCATATGATCATAATCATTTCATATGATATAATAGTGAATGATGATGAATGATTTTATATGATATAATGACGATATCATCTACATTTTTCTTTAATTTGTTTCGCAATATTTATTTTGCAAAAAAAAATAGTTAAAATGTTTAATGACAGCTATATCAAAAGATTCAATGAAAATTGGCCATATATTGTTGTAGATTCGTAAAATTTGTTGAAGTTCGAACATAGGTATATTTAGGATACAGTTTTTTTAAGAAAATTGAGGTACTTTGATACTTGCAACAGGATTATTTAGTGACCATCATCATCACCAACAGCCTTTACTAGTCTACTGCTGGACGTATGCCTTTCCTTAGAAAGGAGGTTTTGGCCTACTATGCCACGCTGGCAAGGCGGGTCGGTATAGGGTTTGTTTCAAGTTTTACATCTTTTTGTAGTGCTGTTGTCCTACAGAATTCGGCAAAACGGGGGTGGTGACACTTCGTATTCTTAATGCATCACCACACAGATATTATTTATCATTTAGTTACAAACATTCTTAAAAGTAGAAGCAATTAAAAATGTAATTGTAAAACCAGTGTTTTCTGGCACCAAGGAAAACAGATTGTGTAACCGCTGTCCGTATCGACGACAATGCTTGGCACAGCGGTAATTAAAATTTAATTAAAAATTTACGAGATTAAAAATGAAAAGACTCATAACTGGATATCTAATCTCATAAATGGATATTAAGTGTACTAATGGTTTCGGTGGCTTTTTCATGCAGCTATTGTTTCTGAAGTTGCTAGAATTAAGTACAAAATTTTCACTAAAATTTGTCTACAAATTAGTAGTAAGTATTTATATAAGTATTTGGTATTATAAAATGAATGGCTACGCCAACTAGTAGGACGGTAACTTGTTGGACACAATTTAAGAACGCAAATAATTTTCAGACCATGATAAAAACATACATGTGGAACTTGAAGAAAAAAGTTGTGGACAAGGGGTGGAACATATGAAAAAGACATTAAAAGAAGAGCCTTATTAGTAGCCCGAAAGAAAATGTGATAACAAGGGTTGGAACAGGAATTCTGCGACATTTTGAGGGACTAAAAGGTACAGTAAGGAACGAATGTGATGACTTCCAAGCTTTTGAAAGACATACTGAAATAGATCAGACATACAGAGTCTATTACTTACATTGAAGATTTTAAAGCGAAATTTTATAAAAAAAAAACTATATTTAATTAATTTTTAATAATTATTATCAACGTCACGTTGCCATTATTAAGTTTATCCACCTGATTGCGTAATAAAATAGTGATATAATCATCGACACAATCGTAATCATTGACGTGATAAGGTTCTTTCTTTACAGTGATAAGTGATCAACAGTTTAATTAAAGGGATTTTTTCTGTAATTCATTGAAAATTACGTTTTGGCGTTTGGAATGTATTATAGAACGACACATCGTTCTATAATACATTATTATAGAACGATCACACAGACAATTCAATCAATATGTGAATGATAATATTAATACTAATCGAAATAAATAACAAGCTACATAATATTATATTGGCAATCCCATGTTAGAGAATTCAACGTCCAGCGATGGGTGTTTACCGGCTATTGTTAATTGTCCAACGCTTAGTCGCGTAGATAGTATGAATTCGAGATACAACGGGTATCACAGACTACCAGATGGGAGCAATTACACAATGTACAGTTTCACTGCAAATTAAAAGTGCTATTTTCGAAAGTGCTAGTTGGTCAAGACTTTAAGCCTGATAGTTTAGAGGAGAAATGGAGACAGGCATGAACTTTAGCGTTGAATAAAAGCCGACTAGGTGCCACTAAGTAAGTAGTAAAAGCAGAATTGACACAAGCTGAAGAATGACTGGGATATAATATAGATTATTTAAAGAGCGGAGATTAATATTATTGTTAGAGCAAAGGTACTGGAAAACGCAGGTGAAGAATGTAGTAGTAGTAGGTGAATTAAGTATTCAATAGAGAGTGGTGATGGCGCTTATGAATCGGAGCCAAATCTGTACAGAGTAAAAGAGGAAACGTGATTATACTACTACGATTATACTTGCAACATTGCACCACCGTAATGTATTTTCCTCTGATATTTATTTTACCCTAACGGATGTTATCTAAGCGCTCTTCTTTGGTTTGATATGTGAAATTTGCACTTGTGAGGACAACGTGGTAGTGTGAGGAGGTGTTGGTGTTGCATTATCGCGCAATTTATTATTCGAGTGTAACTTTTATTTGTTGATTCCGATAACAGTATCGTCCTAAATATCCTCGACTAAACCTACTTAAAAAAATGCCAAAATTATACGATTCCGGTAAGATATTTCATTATCTCTAGTTCTCTATTTGTTATTTATAAATATCATAATATGAAAATAACATAGGAATGTCATATAAATATTTATTATTTAAATAAAAAAGCTATTAAAATCGCAGTACAGCTGATTAAATATTTTTATAATATAATATAACTAAACTAAAGAAGGCTTAAATCGACGCAGCTTCATGTAAAATTCTCCAGTGACAGTCTCTTTTTCAGTAACATTTAACGTGACAAATAAATATATGGTCATAAGGCTTTATAACACGGTCTTGTTTAAAAAAAAAAATTTAAACCTTTTAAATTTCGGTCACACAATCATCATCTCGACGTTAGACCGTCTACGCAGTATCAGAATTATTTATTTGACGCCTGTAGATTTTCACATTAAATTTTCTTTTTGAAATGACAAAGTCCTAAACAAAGATAGTCAAAAATTACAATGGTTCTAACCGATTTAGTCATGACTGTAGCTTAAATGGTATTCGAACACCAATGTTGTAAATGATCGCCAAATCTCACTCTCTCGATCTCTTAACTGCAAACTAATACACTATTACTTTTGACTTTGGTTAGGTTTTTGTTTTTCCTTTTTAAACCACCCGGAAAGTGGACCTGGAACTTTTTTACATTCGTGTGAAATGTGGTTATAAATTTGACAATAATTTATTATTTAAATGGTTCACTACGATTCATTTGTTAGTCATTTCAATAGAAGAGCATACTGATTTTTTTTTCCTTAATAATTTCACATTAAAATGATGTTTTAATTTTGGTGATTAACTATTTTTGGCAGCATAGTGTTGTTTGATATGATATTTTATTATATCTGGTGGTAAGTTAAACATAAGTCTTTATTTTTACAAGACCTTATTAAAAACACAATTTTGATTGCTTTGATAAATATTTCAAAAATGTTTACATTGTACCTATGCACAACTTTGTAATTATTGTATAACATTACCTGTAACGTTATTAAAATAAAAAGTTCAACATTTTGCCGATTGGATTGAAATTTTCCCAAATGTGGTATAACCAATGGTTTGCATTTGGGAAAATTTACTTTACATATAAAAGAGGATAAACTATATAGAACAGTTATCGTAATATCTTTATGATCTTTTTAACTTTGTTCTCGGTAGGGTGATCATATTCATCATTCCGCACTAGAAACTCTTAAAAATGTAATAAAAACTCTTTATGCAAACATACTTAGATAGTAACACAATGATATATTTTGAAGAAAAGAGGTGAAATAGCTTTCGTTGCTCAAGGTAGAAATAAATAATGGTCTGAAAAAACATGCTTTTGTACTTGTAAATTTAAAAATCATTTTATCTTAAAAATGATGATTATTTTCTCATTAAAGACTAAAACGTAACAAGTAGGTAAGTCACATATGCTTCAGTACACGCCTTAATATGTGACACAAAGCACTATCCTGATCAATCGGACAATTTTTATTCATTATTTCATTGTCATCGGTGCTAGACAAGTGTGCGAAGTTACTACTCAAACCGACGTTTTACCGACGGCGACTGCGACAGTGCCTGAGCCTGTGAGCGTCCCGCCGAATTTCGAGCTCGTCCTGGTCTTCCCCTCTCTTACCCCGGCGGATCGCACGAGTCTGGTCATAGACCCTTGGATCCATATTCGCCAGGATATCAAAAGGCGGGAAACGTGCTGTAATAATAAAGGACTATTGCCGCCTCCTATGAAATTGTGCGGTAACGATTCGATCCGAATGGCCGCTACCCGCTGCCCTTGATTGAGCTTAGCTCGGCAGCAGGAGGAGGCCAATAGGCGCTTGGCACATATCGACGCTCCATAAAGAGCCATGGATCGTATCACCGCACAGTAGAGGCGGCGAACTTCCTCCCGCGGACCCCCTAGATTAGGCAATAGCCTCTGTAGGGAGACCGCCACCCCGCGAATTCGGGGCATCATCAGCTCGAAATGCTACTCGAAGCTCCAGTGGCTGTCCAGAGTGAGGCCGAGGTATTTAATGTGCCGGCCGACCTCGACCTTTGTTCCCTCCACTCTAATAAGCGAGCGGGTGGAAATGCTCCTCTGCGTTTCCTGTGGAACCACAAGGCTTCTGTCTTATGAGGTGCAACCCTTAGACCCAAACCACTGCTCTTTCGGACGACACAAGCCACCCCTAACTCGGCGAGCTCCAGGACTTCTGGCAGCCATGCCCCCAGCCAGTACCAGAGCGTCTTCTGCGTTGCAGACAACACTCAATCCTGGTGGAAGACTGGTTCTCAGGACCGCATCACACGCGAAGTTCCACAGAAGGGGTTCTAAGACCCGACTCCCTTCGATATTTTTCGCCGTCCCGACCCATATATTTATATATATATATATATACTATATGCATCTATCGCGGAGATAAACCCCGATGATATCCCGCAGGTACGGGGGCAACTGGTAAAACAACAGTGCCTCCCTAATCGACCACCACGGGAGGGAGTTAAGACAGACTCAGTCACAGTCAAGACTGACGGCCAACACCATGCCCCCCCCCCCCCCCACAGGCGACCTCTCCCGACAAGGAGCGGACGCGTTCGATCGCGTCCAGCGTTGATCGTCGGAAGCCAAATTGGGAAAGTGACACACAGACTCACAAACTCGCACACACACACACACACAAACACTTACTCACACACGCACAAATAGCTCAAACTTAAACTTAGTCAATTAAATAAATATAGATTTCAGTAAACTGCGATCTCTTTCTATTGTTTCTTATGAGATTTATATAAGATTCTAATATTACTGCTACTGCTACTACTGTCCTGCTAGTCTCGATACAGGCTAAGCCTAGCGCGGCTATCATTGTTAAACAAATTATGTAAATCTGGACTTCAAATAAATTGATTATTATTATTATAACAGATTGTATTTCAGCTACTAAGGCGTCGACCTAATAGGCAGTCGATCGTGCGATAAGGCGATGCGATTTCGAACATTTTCATTTTTTCAAATTCTTCAGTGTCCAAATTGAACAGAATTAACATTTGCAGGCGTTCACGGGTGGCGGTGGGTTCTTCCACTTTCATGATATAGGGGGCAAGCAAGCAGCTGCGTCACTGGACTGAAAGTGACTACCGTCCATAAAGGGGAAGAAGAGTGTGCTTTGAGGAGAGAATACGCTCTTTCCTTGAAGGTTTGGGGATGTCTCCTATTTATGAAGTTTCGCCTTACTCATACCAATAGGAGTGTTCGAAATCCTGCCAAGCCCGTTTAAAACATAAATGGAATTAATAAAAATAACCAAAGCTCTAAATGTTGTTTTTGATATTGTGTCGTTAATTGTTGCATAAAACTTAATAAAACTTAATTTAAACAGAACCTAATTTTACGTCATCTACTAAATTTCATTGGGTTTGTTTAACGCTAATACGTATCATACTATAAGTATTTATCACATGATATTATGTATCACATTATATTATGTCCTCAATTAATTTTTGATCTAAATGTAACACGTGCATATAAAAGAGATAAGATTTATTTCAGTCGGATTTAGAAAATTATGTATAATGCCAAGGTTCTTCTAGAACAGAGGTTCTCAATATTTTTTCTCGTGAAACACCTTAAATATTATAGGAAAACAGTGTACACTTTCAGGATTTATTTATACTGCAAAAAAATGTATTAGAATTATCGGACAAATTGGAAATCGTGACAGTTTTAGGCCCTATTTCATTCAATATGACAACTCACACTACCATCATTATACATATTTGACATTTGTGTTGTGCTATTTTCTTATGTTTTATTGGTGAGTTTCAAAAGATTGACCACTTGCACAAAAATAGTGCATAGTTTGTAAATTTAAACGTTATTAAGTTTCATCGAATGCGGATATCTGCCACATTAAGAAATGGGGTTTTTGTTGCTCAGGTCCCTATTTCTGATGTGCATATTTATTTTGGATATTTGTCACAAACACACACAACTATTACTTTGCCTTTACGAGTCACACGTATCTAAAACATACGTCTACAATATATATCACCATCCCCACAATCAAATTACTCATAAAACTTGAAAATTTCAGTATGTTGCGTGGCCAAATACAATAGCTTAACAAAACCTGCAGCTTCTGCAATTTGACGAATTTCAAGTAACGTAAATTCTTGCAGACAATCATGATTGGTTATTCTTATATTCTAAGTACCGTAAGTTCTTAATGAAAAATCATTTTATCGTAAAAATGCGTGGGGTGCTAGATCTCAATTGTTGTAAAAATATTTACTAGGAAAAAGTAAAATGTTTACATTACAAAATATCTCGAAAAGCACCCCATGCTTTTTTACGATAAAATGTTTTTTTAACTTATGGAAAATTATTTCTACCTTTTAGTTCGGCTAGTTATAAAAGCGTGTTTTTCGGTTTTTTGAAACTATTATTTATTTTCCTTTTTTAGTCATTAATGAGCAGTTAATCCTGAAGATCCTGATCAGGATATTCGGCCACATTTATCAAATTATTGCATTCTCATCGGTCCTTGATAAGTGTGCGACGTTTCAATTTAATTCGACGTTTTGAATTGGAAATCAAGTTCGAAGATTCCGTTACATATATACATACATAGATCAATACATACCAAGCTAATAAAAGCGTGTTAAAAATAAGATTTTTCTTTATTTAAATTTTGTAATAGCAACGTATGTTTACAATGTAAAACAATAAAATTAGAATTTGAATTTAGAACAATAAAAGAAAGTCATAAACCGAACTAAAAAGTATCCGTATTACATAGATAAACAAGACAAGTTGAACATTTCAGAAGAAAGAAAGACTTCAGAAGAATAAAAGAGAAAGTCTCCAACAATACCCAACGAAAAAGTAACATATCATCAAACAACCTCAAAATGTTCGTTAATGATACTATGTGTAAACTGGACGTTTTTTCATGTCTACGACTTCACTTTAGTAGGAACCATTGTCACCTAAATTGTTCCTATGGTGTAATTATCTAGCGTGACACCTATATATAGAAATAGTGGATTAAAAAAGCGTTTCACTTATCATCGTCACTTACCATACACACACACACCATAAAAATAACAACGTAAATTTACAACGGAAACTGACTTTATGGGTTTAACCTTAACTGTAACTTTTTATAGACATTATACTAAAGTTATTATTGTGCTTCAGTTATATAACATTATTTATTTTTATATTGAAACAATGTAACATAACTAATGTTTTAAATTTAATTCAATTACATGTGCGTCAAAAGGAAAACCTCAAATAGCTCTTTGTTCTAGGACAATGGTGAGTTTGAGGTTTTCATCCATTACCGATTAGAACTAAATTATCCGTATTATGTAGTACAGTAGTACAGTGCCTTATGTGGCCTAGTAGTTAGACTCATCCCAAGGTATCAATATTGTTGTAAAATCAAGAAAAAAAAAACAAGTAAAAAACCCCATATTTTCTTATATTTTCTCATTTAAATTTTAACATAAATGTTTTAGATAATCCGTATCTATTAGGTTTGCACATTTCGACAAGTAAAAGCTACGAGTAGTTCTCTAACAACTAATATCTAACTAATCAAAACAACAGAATATGTATGTATGTATCGTCAAATTTTCTAATAATGTGGTGTAATCGTGAGTCAGACTTAGTGGTAGATAATATGGAACCTGACAAAAATATTACCATCGAAATATTTATGATAACTTTCTCATAAAAGTGAGTACTTATAAATACCCAAATCACAATTAACCTATCAAATCATGATTGCCACTGGCGATTGCGATAGGTAAAGCTTTATTTGATAAGCTTAAGCTATCGCGATTACGTCAGGTGTTAATCAAAGATACGTACATACAATCTACAATAGTTATTGCTGTCGTAGATTGTTGTCAGTCTAACCGGATTAATTTATTTTTGTATTGAATAGAATATTTGTTGTGGAATTGCAGTCTATGTAACATCGCGCTTCGATCTATATTAGAGAAGTAGTGATTATAAACACAGGAGAGAGAGAGGAATGGTGAATCTTGTGTGACAGTGTTTGATAACATGTTCTTAATTGTATCTTACTGTTTCTATGTTTGTTACATTACAACTATGTAATAATAATAATAGCTCGTCCTGGTCTTCCCCGCTCTAAACCCAGCGTCAGACCCTCGCGTCCATATTCGCCAGGATATCAAAGGCAGGTAAACGTGCCAGGACTGTCGCCGCCTCCGACGTATTTCGTCGGTATCCTCGTACGATCCGATGGCCGCTACCCGCTGCGCTTGATTGAGCTTAGTTCGGCAGTGGGAGGAGGCCGATAGGCGTTTTCGGCGCTCCGTAGAGGGCCATGGATCGTATCACCGCACAGTAAAGGCGTCGAACTTCCTCCCGCGGACCCCCTAGGTTAGGCAACAGCCTCTGTAGGGAGCCCGCCACCCCAGCCGTCACCCGTCCACGCCCGGAACCCCGGGGATCATCCGCTCGAAATGCTCCTCGAAGCTCCAGCGGCTGTCTAGGGTGAGGCCAAGGTATTTAATGTATTGGCCAACCTCGACCTCTATTCCCTTCACTCTTATAAGTAAGCGGGTGGAAACTGCACCTCTACGTTTCCTATGGAACCACAAGGCTTCCGTCTTATGAGGTGCAACCCTTAGTCCCAGACCGCTGATGTTTTGGACGACACAAGCCACCCTTATCTCGGCGAGCTCAACGACCTCCTCGAAGCCATGCACCCTAGCCAGTACTAGAGTATCATCTGCGTAGCAGACGACGCTCAATCCTGGGGGAGGTTCCACAGAAAGGGTCCTAAGACCGACCCCTGGAGAACCCGCATGTGACTTCCCTTCGACATTCTACGCTGTCCCGAACCATATACAATATGGTTCTGTCGGCGGAGATAGACCCCGATGATGTCTCGCAGGTAGGGGGGCAACTGCTGATACACCAGTGCCTCCCTAATCGCCCACCACGGGAGAGAGTTAAAGGCGTCGACTATGTCAAGACTGACTGCCAACGCCACGCCCCCCTCAGACAAACTTTTCCGACAAAGAGCGGACGCGTTCGATCGCGTCCAGCGTCAAGCGCCTATGTCAGAAGCCAAATTGTGATCCCCTAGCGATGGCGGCACCACCATCGCTAGGGCAACCGACCGCTCAGCGAGTGTCTGTATCAGCAGCTCTTGCGCTATGCGGCAGAGATTTAGGTTGCCCTGCAAAACTTTCTGCGGAGGCGTGAATTTTGCGCGTAGCACGATCGGTCTCGTTGGGACACTTTGCTCTTAGGTGACCCAATTCGAGACAACGGTAGCACTGCAACGGACGTGCTACCAATTCCTCGACCCTACCCGAAACCCAGCCCACCTTTGGCGGCCACCCACACCCGTTTGGCGGTCGCAACCCTCGGACATCGGGCATCGGACCCAGGCCGTGCTAAGCCGCGACGGGGAGGCACGGTGGTCTCCGGTTTTGACGTCGGAGATGGGAATCCCTCCGCCATTGCTATGGCCTTGTTGACCTCAGCTTGGATGATTGGAACCTCATTTCGTGACCTTCTTTCACCTTTTTGGTGACAGGTTACTTATTCAACTTCAACTTTTGGTTAATGGCTTTGTGGTAGAGTGTAACCACAATTTCGCCAATGTCATGTATTTGAAAGACAAACTGTCAAAGGATTTTATGTAGAGCTGTGGTTACTTATTAATATTGTTAGTTTACAGTTTGACATAACATACTTAACACAAATAAAAGAGACGGGATTTGCAGAGTGTCCCTGTCTCTTCGTGTCAAATATAATAGACTAAAGACATATTCAATAGTTTGTTCCCTATTTCCAGCCCCGTATGTGGCAGCAGCAGTGTCCACAGTTGGTGTAATCGGAGGTGCTTATAATGCCTATCAGCTGTATCAAAAGAACAAAAGGAATAGATTACCATCACCCGAGGAATGGGTACACGTCGGATATCTCAAACGAATATACGCATACCCGATAAAATCATGTGCGCCCTTTCCACTAAAGCAAGCTGAGTGCTCGGTGCTGGGTTTGAAAGATGGTTGGCTACGAGATAGGTAACTATAGTTTTGTATTTTAATATTTAGTATTCTGAATTCTAAATCGAATTAATTAATTATTCCTAATACTGATCGGGGGGAGGACTTCCTTCAGCAGTGGTCTATTGTCTGGTTGGTGAGATATTGTCTTCGTTAGATGGCCCAGAACTGTGTTTTTGTTTCATAGTATATGGAAGTTACCACTAAATAAATACTTACATTCACGATTATACTTGTTTTGTCAGTCTTCTGTGTAATAGATAATAATTGCCATTATAGAATGTTATCAAGATTAATTTATTCATAATAATTAAACCACTAATATTTTGAACTTTTTTTCAGAATATTAATGATCATAGACAATGAAGACAATAATTTGGTAACAGCCAGAACTTATCCGGAAATGTTAAAAATAAAGACAACTTTCAACAAAGCCATAGTGACATTACAACATCCAAAAATGGAACCTATCGACATTAACTTAGCCGAGGTATTTTTTTGTATTTTACAACTTAATAACGAAAATTTACGTCACTCTAAATTAGTGTAGTACCGCGATCAAAGTAGATCATCTTAAGTCAGAATAGAATTACTTACACAGTACATTCATTAATTATAATATTTATACAAAACAAAATTTATGAAAAAGCCAATCAGATTGCAGCACGTGAGAAAGAAAAAGTGTCCAAAGTTATCGACAGATCTGCACACCCCCTTATAAATAATAGTCTTTATAGCTATACAGTCTACTTTAGAGAATAGTTTGAGGGAAGGTTGTAGGGGCAGACAGGATCAATTGAGTAACCATCCAAAACCTGAGGTGTGTAAATATATCTTCCACATATAGTAGGGGAGTCCTAGAAGGAATTTCGGGATTTACTCGAGCGTGGCAGATTAACATAGAAGGCCTCACCTTACACTCAGTTAGGTACCTCCACTATACATGAGCCCTACATATAGGGGGGATCGTCTAGGGCAGACTATCAGATTAGTAAAAAAATCGATGAGAAAAAACAAAAAAACAAATTATTTCAAACCCTGCAAAATTATCGTCTGATTTTTGGCTGAACATCAAACTGAACCGTCTGTATAATTCTAACACGGTCGGGTATTTCGAAATGGCGCTTTTTCAAACGCAAACTCACTCAAACTCACAAATATATTTTTTTCGATTTCCTACCCTTACATGTTTGAAAACCTGTAGAGCTTTTTCCACCGCTGCAAGATAATTTATATAACTTTTATTCATTCTATTACCTAATATTTCAAATGCAATAGGTCCCCATGACGCTCAGGTAAATCCCCATTTAGCATCGTGGGCTCCGCTATTAATAGGCTACATACGAGTAGATAAATGTCAGGTAGTGTTATTGCTAGCGCTTGTCAATAAGGTATGACTTAATAAAGATAATGTACTCCAAAGAACCTTGAAAAGAAACGATAATATTTTGATAATATTACATTAATTTTATTTTGAGGGAATTACGCGCTCGCTTGGTATGTACTTAATGATTGAATGACGATGATTGAATAACCTATCGTGAGCGCGTTGATTCCTGATGAAACATGATTATAATATATTATGAAACACGATAGTTTAAAAGTTAGCATAATATTAGTTCCTATTAGTTCGTTTGTGCCTGTAAATTCTTTAATTCGCTAAATTCGTGAGCTTCACTTATCGCAAATTAAAATTGTGTAGCAATTTTATTAAGCCCTAACAAATTTCAGGTAATACTGATGAACAAGCTTATTGATACAAATGTATGGACAGCGCCGGTGACCGTTTTCGATTGTGGAGATGAAGCTAATAAATGGATTACCAAGTGAGTCATTTTTCAAAATAATATTCAAAAAAATATTCATGTTAATAATAATTAAATGGTAATTCCATTACTACTCCAAAAATCGACATGGCATATTTGTTGCATACAGTTTCTATTTTAAGGGCGCTGATAGACTTGCAACCGAACATCGAGCATTCCCTAAAAGCTCAAGTTTGTTTTTGTGAGCTTACATTTAATGAATGAATGCTTAAAAAATCAAACAATTTCATCATTTCAAATGCAAGAATATTCCAACATATGTTTTTTTTAACATTCTAACGTTTCACTTTAAGCGCTTAACGAAAAATGAATAAAAAAAGTTAAATGCCAAGGAAGGAAATTTGAAATACTAATTTATAAATCGCAAAGAAAAACCTATCAGCCCTAATGCTGTATTTATAAATTTAAAATGCCATATAGCATAACTACTCTTTTACTTCGTCATACAGACGAAGTAAAAGAGTAGTTATGCTATATATTCTTTGATAAGTAAAAGAGTAGTTATGCTATATGTTACGAAGGATACTAGCTGGTCCAGGTAAATGTAGTCATCGCTATAGTGCATTTCCGACTCACTTTAATGACTTTTTATAACACAATACATGTTAACAAAGAAGTAATTACTTATTTCGGAATATTACCATTAATCAATAATTCTAATCAGAACAACCAATTTTTACCACTGGCAACATTTTATTTTTAATTTTGTTGTCAATTTCATAGCCCCGGCATGATGCAAAAAATGGTGACACTTTTTGAAAATTAATTACGAGTATTTTATTATGTAGTAATACACAACAATAAGCCAGAATTATAAATATATATTTCGATATTACTCTCGCAATAAATAGTTGACAATGTTTCCTAGACTAAGCAATGGTGCCAATATTACCTTTAATGAGCATTTAATCAAGATTTACTTGGCTTCCTGCATATTTCAAAGGACAAAATAAATAGTCAAACAGAACAATTAATGTTTTATTCTTTCGTACAAAATTAGATGCGTACTTACGGAGATGTCCGTCTTTGATGCTAGCTTCCCGAAAAGTGACAGTATATTACAATGTACTCTGTGAAAAGTGACTTAACAGCCAGCACATTTCTCAAGAAAACCGGAGTGTTGCCAGTTAAACGAATCAAATCGATTTTTGAAAACAAACTTACTTACTTACTTTCATTAGCATAATCCGATGACAATATGAGATATTAGATATTTTTTTAAATAACATGATCTTAAGAATACTTCATTAAAGTATTCAACATTTGAATAATTAACGAGAAGATTTAACCTTTAACATTAGGTGGAGAAATTGTTCGCAGAACGACCTGAGGTGAGGCCATCTGTCACCCTAGCAGAAGCAGGCCGGGGTGGCGACGAGCGCGTTGCGAAGCGCGCTCGCTTCTCCTGGAAGCAGAGGGAACATTTGGTTCCCACACGGGGTGGGTCGTCTACTCGTTTGTAGATGGCCCGAGGTATGTCGGGGTACCAGCGACTTCCTTTCTAGGGTATACCTGGTTCCCCGGCTATTAGTACCCGAGACGGCGTGCGGTTTTAGTCGGTTCGAGTCCGACATGCCATTGATAGGTGGTATCCGAGGGGATTTAAGCACGGAAAGAAAAAAACAAAAGAAGGTGGAGAAATTGTTGTGAATATAGATGCCGCATAAATATACTAGCAACCTAACTTTGCTTAATAACAGTATACCTCTTTATTATACATTAAAAACTTTTTAAATTGCAAGGTTACAGCAATGTTTGGGTAGCTTGCTTGGCTTAATTTTGGGTTCAAATATTGCATCGCCTTTCTTGTCAGTCGCTCATCAGAGTTAGACAATTGAATTTATTGTGATTGATATTGGTGTTAATTCTGTTGTTCGAAAAAAGAATTAGTACCATTAACCACATTTTGGCATTAATTACACTTTGCACTTTAATCATTTAGATAAAGTTTTATCACTCGCACTTTACAAATAATGTATTTAGATTGCACTTCATCGATTGCAAGATTACACAAAACAAAGTCTGTATAGGAATATGACCTATACAGGCATAGATAGTATAGATATACCAAACAGTGTACCTATGTTGAAAAATCACCATCTCAAATTTTTATTTCAGATGTCTAAATATTGAGGACACTACATTTACTTTGGTTTATCACGGACATGAAAGACATCGAGTAATAGCAGGATCGACAGCCATCTGGCCGAACATTTATGATAGGATGAAACAGAGTGACACAGTAAGTAGTTTGTCTCATAAAACACCCGGTATCAACAGGTAATCTACTCATCTAATATGTTACATTACTTCTTCCTTTGTGCCGTCTAAAAACGAATGCGTTCAAATGGGCAGATGCTAAATAAAAAGAGGTGGATAATAATATATGTTTTGGAGTAGTAATAACTACCATACCAAGGCATGGTATTTATACACGGTGAATTTTTAGGCGTTTTGGAAACGAAACATTTTAATTTGGAATCATCTATAGTACCAATAAAAATGATTAAATCAATTGTAATGTTGTCTAAAAAAAAGTTTCAGTTTTAATATTCATTTTTACTCGATCGACTTGTAAAGTAGTAATGGACTGATCATTGATTCATAATCTTATATGAATGAAACACGTCCGTGGGCGTTTCGGCGGCCGCTGCGCACCGCTGACGCTAACAGCAGCTGATAAAAGTATACCTATAGGCGCGAGCTAGCGAGTACTTACGTAGATAGACTCCAATTTGTCCTCCAAACTCCAAATCGATATGAATATCGACTTTGATGATAAAAAAAATATATATTTTATTAAATTAACGTTATATATAGCTTCTGTTACTGATAAATAACTCAAAATTTTCTTTTCCAAAACGCTTTCAAAATCACCGTGTATAGTTAAAAAAAAAAGTCGCCTACAATTTTTTTTTCTATGAGTGGTTTCTTTTGCCAAGGTATCAAGAATCACATTCTCAATATTATTCATATTCATGCGAAGTGTTGTCATATTTTTTGCGCACTTGTGCTACCACTCGCGGGGCCACAGTTGCGAATAACGCGTTGGGTTTCCATATAATTCCAAACAAAATTCGTTTGTAATATTACGTAAATCGCTATATCCTAAATTTCCTTATTCATAATTTTTTTACCATTTTTGTTATTTTGTAGCGCTGTCTAGCTTGTGTGCTGCACTCCTTAGACTAGTGGCTTTGATAATTGTATTTCTATTTATTTCATTGGTTGTAGTTTCACCTAACTTTAGGTCTATCTACCTAACTAGGTAATTAATTATGTAATAATTAATACTCATAATAAATCATCTGTCTGCTGGTTGGCAACAGGTAACCTAAATGACAATGACTACATGACGTGTCTGAATACTAAAACAGAAAAAACTATACATACGAGAAGAATAATAAACTACTTTTTATACAAATCTTGCCTGAGCCTGCATCGCTGCATAAAAATCTAAATCCTACCCTTGCTAAGTTCTTTTGCTCCTGTAACTACTCGTAGTATGCTTGCAAAACACACATTATGATAACTTTTTACAATTTGCACAAACTAGACATGATGTTAAGATAATGGGAAACTATGCCACAGTACTTTTTTTTCACAGTCAAAGGCTAAAACTCCACGTAATAAAAATAAAATAAAAAATGCTTTAATTAAATAATTTCAAAATGAAATCGAATTTAATACCAAAATGTGCACACACATGTCACACGACGTGTTGGAAACGATGAATACGTGGATTTTGCAAATTACAGTAAATACTTAGTTCGGTCTCTACAGTTGATTTAAACATTTTGACTTAATGGTTATATACATAGTCATTAAACTTACACGTGTACATACTTCTTTTTTAGGGTGTCTGTACCCAGACAATAAATCAGATTAGATTTGATCTGAGAAATGATCGCTATACTTAAAAGATACGAGGCAATAAATTTAATTAATTAAAGGAAATCTGAAAAAACTAATCATTTATTTATTTATTCATTTATTTATATACATTAAACCAGAATCGGATCGGCATCAAGATCGGAAAATGCTATTATAATGTAGTCAATTTTGGATTGCATCTAGTCTTAAATTTACTTTTAATTTTACTTCCAGGGTGCTTTCTCTGATGAAGTAAACTGCCACGTTCTCACTGAAGCCTCGCTTGACGATTTGAACTCACGCTTAAAAGACGTTCAAATTACTGAAACTCAGTTCAGACCTAACATCGTGCTGTCTGGGGGCACACCCTTTGATGAGGACAATTGGAAATTTGTTAAAATAGGAGAAAATATATTTCAAGTCATCAAACCATGCATAAGGTACGTTTTTGGGGTTCCCTTCCTCATAAGAAAAATCTTAGAGGATCATAATTAGAGGATAATATGTCTGTTTTATGTTCTCTTGGAGCTGTACAAAAATCAAACTTCTAAGTTGACTTGCGTGTATTACAAATGAAAACCTTCGAGTTCTTACCTAAACTTAAATGTTACGGTTTTAAGTCAAATAATAAAAACCAACAGTCTTTAATCTTTTTAACGTTACACATGATTTTCGCTAATAAACCTTGATAGAAAATCCTTGTTTTTAAGATAATGCAATTCTGTGTAGAAGACGCAACAAATGAAATAAAACGAAAATGAAATTTGTATAGCACCCGTGAGGCGCTAGATAGACACACACTTATTCACTTAAAATTATGTAGGTCATCATCACCATCATCAACAGCCTATAACAGTCCATTACTGGACATAGGCCTCTCCTTAGAAAGGAGGTTTTGGCCTACTATACCACGCTGGCCAGACGGGTTGATATAGGGTTTGTTTCAAGTTTTACTTCTCTTTGCAGTTCTGTTGTCCTGCGTAGTTTGCTCGCTTAGTCGGCTCTTACGACACCCACGGGATGAATAGGTGGTGACATTCCGTATTCTTAATCCGTCACCACATTAGGTAATTAGTTAAATCGACGGAACCGACTAAGTTACTCGATTTGAAATTTTTATTTGCAGGTGTGTATTTACTACGATGGATCCTGAAACTGGTATTCGCAACAAGAATATGGAACCTCTCACAACTTTAAAAGGGTAATTTTGTTCACCCATATCTGTCAATAGAAATATAGATTTTAGTATAAAATATCAATAGTACATATGTGTTTAATACCGACAGTTGAAGAGCTTGTTTAAATGATTTCATTTTTTTTCAAACGAAAAGCTTTTGTATGTATTATTAGTATATTGTAACGAAAAAATGTATTATGAACCGGATTATCGGATTAGTTACGATTTAAGGACTAAAACAGACGAATTGATAACCTCCTCTTTTGTGTTTTTGCAGTCGGTAAAAACTAACACTGACATTCTTCTAATGTGATAATATTTTTCTCTAGCTACCGTCTAGCCAAAGACCCGGAAGAACTCAAGGCGGCGGGCGACTCGCCGCTGATGGGATTTCACATGGCCCTGCGCAGTGGACCGGGTGGCAAAGTATCTATCAATGAACCATTCTACGTCACTTATTAATTAGCTCGATATATAAAGACAAGGATCGTATTTAATTTATTTGTTTTGAAAACATTAAAATATCCTCAAAAAAAAATAGTATTTCAATTACATTCTTATGTAAGGTATTTTTAAGCTGAACCAAAATACGCTTTTTTAGTCCAGTCAACAAGTAAAAAATGGGTTCATTCTTGTTCTAGGTCCTAAAAATATATGCGATAGCTCATTCGATTTGGAATAACGTCTAGAAAAAAGTGTCTCGAACATTTATGAACACGTAAAAAATGCAATTGTTATTAACTAAATAAGATATTCAAATTTCAACTCAATAACTATTTATATTTAAGAATTTTTAAAAGGATCCTGGAAGAGAAGGAAAGGAAGAATAAAAAGGCCCGATGCCCGGAATTCTGTCTCCTTTTTATTGACGCCGAAAATAGGTGCACGGAGACCTTACGGCCGTTACTTCATGAGCGCGCACAATAATTTGAATAATGATTTTATTTGGCATACAACATGTCTAAGATTATTGTTTAGACATTTATTAGCGCGCATATGTAACTGTTTTCCTTTACACATGTGTTTTTGAAAAATGTACAAATGGCCACCAACTTTTCCCATGACAATATAACTAATTTTCATGCATGCCTGTCCATGCTAGTGTACGACATTGTGTCAGTTACAAATCTAGGTGTCACCATGTCTACCAAAATGAAGCGATCGAAGGAAGATTCAAACGAATATTGAATTGATCGATAGTAGGTATTTTGACTCTGACAAGGTGTCTGGTAAGTGTTCTGCTCTCAGCAGGAAGCGACTGAATACAGACTGAAGAAATGGGTAATTTTAGATTTGGTAAAATTGTGAGAAACTATCCTAGTTTTTATATATATTTAAATACATACCTATCCATGAAAACAATGAAGTCAATTTGACTTCATTGTTTGTATTTGTGAATTCGTAACCGATCCGGACTCATTGCTCGTAAGATGTAACGTTGGTCTAATATTATTAGTGTTTTTATTAATCTAATACGAACTAAAATAAAACAATTTAGAAATGGCTTATTTTAATCATGCATACGCATGAAAAAGAAAATACTTAAATTATGACGTACTAGCTTTTGCCTGCGGCTACGGTATTTTCACAGTAAAGTAAGTATTAAACATCCAACTTGATTATATCGTATCGTGACCGAAAATTGAATCGGTTATCTGCTAGTCTTAGTAATACTTTACTATTTTACTACAAAAATACTTTTTATGACAGTTGCGAGATCGAGAGTTGATGTTTACTGAATTTTGACCGCACTTATATTACGAGAATTCGAAAGCCTTCACATAGCGCGGTGTATAACACCTAAAGCTCGCCGCGACTGCAATCTCTTATTTAGGCATGCGCCTCAACGATACTAAGCAAGCAGCAATTTCTTATCACATAGTTCTTCACATTTATGTAAAGGCTCAGTTAGGTGAGTATTTATATTATATATGCCAAAGCAGCGCCTTAACCTGAAACGTTGAGGCGGTCCTCAAGACTCACTGCTAAAAATTATTGGCATGTTAATTAAACGTTTAAACACATTTCCCTCAATAACTTAGATACTTCTATTCAAATCAACAGGTAATAGCGGGAAACCTCAAATTGACTATTATCCTGCATTAAAGATAAACAATATTCAACTATTTTATTAGTACTTTTTTAGTATCAACGTGCAACAATTGAAACAATTATTCATAGGCAATCACGTCGTACCGTTATTAAATTTGCTGATGATAATATTTCGGGTCACGGTTACATGTATTTGTTGTCCATCACTTTATCCCGTGGACCCTTCGATGAAAACCTATGTTTCTATCCTTAAGGCACATCTTGTATGTATAACTCTGGGTAAGGGCTGGGTAAAATATCTTGAATAAAGGTAATTAATCTAGGCCTACCCTGTTAGGATACAAGTTGTAGTTCATGAGGATCCGTTAAATACTTGAAACATGGAAGTGCAACATATAAACAAATTCACTTTTACAATTGTAATGTTATAGGTAAGATGAATGTTCATTGTTATTTTTTACAATCTCTGCCGATTGTCATACATACAATTAGCACTGGTGTACAAGTAGCGCCGATATAGAGGGCTAAAGATAAAGGAGGCATAGGTTATAATGTTACGACTTCTCTGCATGCAACAAAAACATACTACAGAGCCATCTAACAAAGTCACTGGGTAAACTTACAGGATTAACTACCAATCCTGTATCGCGCAATTAGTATATCACAACTTCCCAACATCAAACGTAAGGCAGCGGTCCACCAAGCATGATAATTTGGCCTGTACTCGTAAGTAATAATCAGTTAGTATTATTAGTAAGTAATTATAAGTTAGTAATTTTGACATGTTTTGTGTTTGTTACAAGATATTTTCGCGATAAATGTAAAGATCGTACTTAATTCACTTATTGTGAAAACATTATTTGTTAGCTTGTTTACGTCAACGAAAACCATAGAGGTATCTCTATGACGAAAACAGTATTATTTACGTCTTCTATATTTCAACACATGTAGGGAAATATTTATACTCCTTTTTATAAAAACATGACACACAGAGGCATATCATGTTTGGAATATTTAATAGATACATGTAGAGAAAGCTAAAATGTTTAAATCAATTGCGTATAAAACTACAAACATAAAGGATATACTTTCATCTGACGTGCATTAGTGCATTGATGATACATTTATGAACTAGTGACGTTCTCTTACTAATTTCCTGTCATAAATATTGAAGTAATCGAATATTCCATTGACGTAGGTTAGAATGTTGTAAAGACCGTCAACAATACATTATTCAAAGTATGTACACCATCAAAATTTATCTTATTCCTTTATATAACCATTTCTAGTAATTTCTTTAGACATTTCTAGTTATGCAAAAAAAACATTACAATCATAAATAAGTACATTGTTTAGATCAGGATCGTCACTTGTATATACACACAAAGAAAACAATCAGAATTACTTAAGAAAAATCTCTGATTTATAAATATTTTATATTGCAACTAATGTATGAGTTTAGATTTGGATGCCTTGCCCGGAGTCAGAACCATCCAAACCTAACCTACTATGGAAGATGTCTTTCACTATTTTAGTATATCTGTTATTGTTGCGATAAAAACGTCTAGTAATTTATTGATTTTCTTCTGTTCATTATATTGTTCATTCTAGTAAGTATGTAATTAATAATTAGTAATTATACATATAAAAATATTTTAAGTTACTCGGACACGACTCTAGCGATGTAGCTTAAAAGATATATTTTTAGACGAAGATCCTTCTAAGAGGTAACCGATTTTCCAGCAAATTTAACTAACAGTGGGCCCATTTTCATCAATGAAAAGAGATGTTTTGGCCTTTTGAAAGCTGTATTATAAGAAAAAGGGTCTGAAAAGCAATCGTAAGTATTAGCGGATAGTTTTTTTTTATAATTTTTTTTTAAAGACAACCACCGCATTAGGATTATATTCCTGTGTCGCGGGGGACTTTACCAACATACATGATACGGACACAGATAACACCCAGACTCAGAACAACAATTTGTGAATCACACAAAGTGTAGTCCCATGTGGGGATCGGACCCACAACACTCAACGTAGTAGTAAGCGGCTTGGCGACCGCTTAAACCACTACGCCATCCGTGCAGTCATGAATATTGTAGACAGATTCAGTTTTTGGTGCCTCGGAGAGCACGATAAGCCTTTTTCTCAAACTAGGTTGGGATCGGCTTTTAAGTTTATTACGGTAAGGCTAAACTGCCGAGGGAGCGACTGCCATCAGGCCTCCACAACCCAAGTACTAGGCGATATCAAAGTTCTGTAGAAAGACCAGCTCCAACTACCCGTAACGATTGCCACAGAAGTTCATATTTCAACCCGGACCGACGTCTTTACAGATACATGAAAATATATTATAAATAAAAAAATTGACAATGAAGTCAATTCGGACTGTTGTATGTTGTCAAGTTACAAAATCAATTTAAATTAACTCCAAATGCTGCGCATTAGTAGTAGCATGTGAAAGTAGTACTTGACTTACGCTCCACATCTTTATTATTGTTATTGCAACTGCCCCTCATAATTGAATTAAAACAAGGTAACTTCCAATTTCCTATGAGTACAAAGTAATCTTCAATTCCTTCTGTCTCTAAAGGGCTATCCCTTTCTGTAGAATTGTTAGTGTTACAGCTCTCCGTGTTATCTCAAGAACAATGTAGAATCTTTCCTTTGCAGACAAATCCAGAATATTTTTAGCGCCCTGACCTGGAATTGAACCCAAGACTTCATACTCTACACACTGTACCAGTGTGATTTTTGTTTTCTTTTAACTCGAGACATCTCATCTGATGCCAAATTAGGAATCGCCTGTGTTATAGTGTCAGACTAGCAATAAACATATATATTTCTAAATACATTCATTATAGATAAATTACACCCAACACAAAGAAAAAATGATCGTGCTCATCTCACAATATTTTGTCCTGGTTGGGAATCGAACGAACGAACGAAAATCACAGGTCAGTCGTTATTTTTATAACCTTCCTATACTATGACTAATTTGAACTAGTACTTTCCCCTAGTACACGTTTTTCCCTAACGGGATCTATTATATAAGCCGCTCTTCTTCGGATCAATATGAGAAGCCAGCAGCTGTAAGGATAACGTGGTACAGTGAGGTGTTAGCGTTGCTCCATCGCGCGTTTGGTATTTGATGTGTCCTATAATAGTGTCGTTTTAAATATTTTGAACTAGCTCTACTCACAAAAAATGCCAAAGTTATACGATTCCGGTAAGTAAAAGATCTTTATTTTTTACTATAAAAATTATTAAGATAAAGTAATTAATGAATCTAGAACAATTATGAAAGATTAAACGTAGTGATGGACCAAATATTTCTTCTGTGAATTAATGATGAATGATTATCTAAAATTTCTTAATAAGTATAAAAAGCCTTTTACCTAGCTTTTAATTAGCTAAAAAAACATGTTAGTTCAAAGAAACCGGTAACAAATATTTATTGTTGTATAGCAGCCCTCTATATTGTTTTAATTACGTTTTCAAAGAATTGATTTTCATAGAATAAACAGAAATATATTATTTTTTAAGTTTTCGACTTCTTTTCATAGCGGTTAATGAGACAGGCTCGCTGATAGACAGTTAAACAGCGGCAACTTGATGTTTCGAACGAAAATTTACACAAATCATTAAAATAGGGAATCACATCACCAGCTACTACTAATAACTTTAATTCTATATTTTTTGTTCTAAAAGACTTAGCCCTAATAATATTGTTTTATTTTATTGTCTGTTATCTGTACTACAAAAATCTAATTTATATTTATAAATGGTAATGCCATCAAGACCAGGAAGTTTACTTCCTCGCAAAACAATGCGAAGATGAATCCTAAGATGTCGATCAGAGTTACTGATTTCGTCATAGGCAGGTCCTATGTCACAGAATATGAACTCTGGGTAAGGTAATTAAATTAAAGTAATTCTCTGACGAAGTCCTATTTCATTATTTCTTATTGAAAGAGGACTCCTATTTCAGATTATAACGATATGGGATTCACAAGCTGATGATAATATTGTGGATAATAACATGAAATAAACAGTCTTTATCCTCAACCATAGTAACATAGTGTACAATTGTTGGGTTTTCTTAATATAGTAATACATAAAAAATCAATGTACATATGTGTGTTTGTATTTTATGCACTGCCTTACATTTAATGCGATTTCATTTACTTTTACGTGAGGGAAGTCGCAGACAGAAACTAGTATTACATGTTATTGCGTTTTCTCTTTGTTTTTTTTTCAAATGAGAACAACATCAATAATTTAACCCCTAAGTCTCTTCTGATCTAACAATTCTTATTCTTAATTTATTAATAAATTATTAACAATTAAAAAAAAATTGCATATTGAAAAATGTATTATTTATTGTAATAAACATTATCTACATATGATTTACAATGTGATGTGATTTAAATTTGCTGATTTAAACTCCATGTAACATCCATAAATGTACTACATTTTTTGCAAATAAATTATTCTGTTCTATTTATCTCTTCATGTATACTACTAGTACTCGTAATATGACTGCACGGATGGCATTGTGGTTTAAGAAGTCACCTCGACGCTTCCTACTGCGCTGAGTGTTGTGGGTTTGATCCCTACATGGGACAACACTTTCTGTGATCCACAAATTATAGTTCTGAGTCTAGTTGTTTTTTATGTTTATTTCATTAATGTATTTGAAGTGTGTAAGTGATATATTCCTAATGCACGATTTGTCTTTTTTTAATAAAAAAACTAAATACGTGTAGGGACAATAAAAAACTTTATTTGGGCAAAACCGTCAGTTATGACGTCTAGGTACTTTTACGACGTGGTTGGTGGACGGTGTGGGATACCCAATCCCACACCGTCCTATTGTGCTAGAAGAAGAGTGTCAAGAAGTCACAATCAAGTAAATTTTATGTTGACAAACTGACTTACGTCAAATGGGAACCTTGCAACGTCAGCTTGCCAGGACAGTTGGCTTGATTCAGTCACATTTACGCATGGGTATGGCGCTATGTTAGTTTCCTTATTTTTTGAGCTTACTATGTAGCAATATATGATGTATTAACATTGTATAACTGTTATATTACAAGGATAATTATTTATAGCAAATTTACGTTGTGGGGCCCCCTCAAATTTACGTTGCTGAATCGGGGCCTTGGTGAGATATCATGACATCTAACCCTTTGCATTATAACCTCACGTGAGATTTTTGAAATGCGTGTTTTTAATGTAAGTTAAAAACACGCATATGTGTGTACTAATTAGTATGTGTTTGATTACAATAGATTTATGAAAACAAGCGGTGTGCCGATATAGCAATTTTTTTGTACCCGTGTTTAGAACCTACCTAACCTGTATATGATTTGATTTAGGTATTTACATTATTTTAAAAGCTTAGATAGACTAAAAAGCATTCTTTTTTACGTTTCAATTCTATAATTGTTTAACTTATTTGTAAATGCTTTTTAATTTCTTGGAGCTAAAATAAGGGGTCTACCAATAAAAACATCCTGGTTTAAAAAAAAATTATGAAAATTATTGCGTGGAAAGTTTGGTGAGTCGTTAATTTCGAGAAATGAACCGTTCAGTTGGCCACCAAGATGATTGATTGAGAAGCCGTGTGATTTAACACCTTTAGACTATTTTCTTTGGGGTTACGTTACATCTAAAGTGAACACAAATGTCAAGAGACGTTAAAGATCCATCATCAAACATGGCCGCTATGAGCTGTCAAAACCAGGTCATCCCTATTGGTAGACCCAGTATTATAAAAATTCTCTCTATTCCTTTCTGCCGGCTATGTAATACATAGATTTTTTTTAATCAACCTGGTAATATTGTTCTCAACTTATTGTTTTGGTTGAGTTAATATATTACATTTACCTAAGACATAATGGAAATAGTTTAATAAATTTAATGAATTCAAAAACACCAATGTTAGAAGGAAAACCTCAACCTATATTTAATGGACAATAGTTTGATGTTTGCCGCTATTACTGATTCGAATGAAATTAACTTAATTGTTTCTTAAAATGGATTTAAAAAAAGGTCATGTCTCTAAATAATTTAAATTTACTTGACAATGGTTTTAACTCTAAGTCAATCGTAGTTTATACGTCCCAGGACAGCCTTAACGTGTACAGCCTGCTCATGACTCATCACCTATATCACAAGTACTGTTGTGTAGGAGTCGAACAAACTAAAACCATACAACTCCAAAACCAGTGCTGACTCTTCCTCCAGAAATCTTCCCCGAGGTTTGGCTCAACCCCTCGCCCCCAAAACTTTCACTTAATGAAAGTTTTACCCCCTAAAGTTTATGTCAGTGCTGGTAGGCTATGAAATACATATTATCCAGATCAGCACAATACTAGAAAAGCAATAGACAGACGACTCGTTTACTCGTTTTCTTTAAACGTAAAACGTTTTCGTTGAAAAATTTAGTTTTTTTTTTATTCTAGCTCCATTTATGGCAGCAGCAGTGTCCACAGTTGCTGTACTAGGAGGTGCCTATAATGCCTATCAACTATATCAAAAGAACAAAAAGAACAGATTGCCGTTACCCGAGGAATGGGTACATGTCGGATATTTGAAACAAATATACGCATACCCGATAAAATCGTGTGCGCCTTTTCCACTTAACCAGGCTGAGTGTTCTTCGCTGGGTCTGAAAGCTGGTTGGCTGCGGGATAGGTAACTGAAGCTTATTTTCATACTTAGTATTCTGAATCTGGACTCTTGCCATAAATGCAAATGTGACTCCGTCAGTAAGAAAACTTTTAGCTTTTCACGATTAAAGCCGAAACTAGGCCGATTAACTAGGAGAATACCGGGACCAGGGATTTTATTTCTAAGGTACACCTGGTTCCCCGGGTATTGGTCCGGGACCTGCGGTTTCTAGTCGGTTTGAGTCTGACATAACCTACCCGGTGAGTGGTATCCGAGGGGATTAGGTACCGCACAGAAAAAAAAAGGGGGAACAACCCAATCTATAAATTTCATTCCAATACAATGAGCAATACTATTGAACAATGTCTCTTTATGTTACTTAAAATATATGTATCGCTTCACTCCTAAAAATATTTATTAGTGAAACGATATAGGTGTAATTCTATAGTTACGTAACTATAGAATTAACAAAATGTTAAGATATATATATTACTATTTATTTCAACATTTTGTTAAAGTTACAATAGTTTTGAATTGTTTTATATACTTATTGATATTTGCATGCCTAATACAGAATAGAGGTTAAACTGTGCACCATTGTTAAATCTGGCACCACCTGCATTCGGTGCAAATAACTGTTTCTTTCTAAAAAAAAAATTGAAGCTGTTTTGTAAATGTAGCATTTTGTACCAAGAATACCAAGAATATATGAAAACCATAAAAAAAATGTTATACACACACATGACAACCTTAAGTTTCCTATTAAGAAGTAGGTTTATAAATAAAAATTAAAAGTCGGCAACGTACTTGAGACACCTGAATTGCAGGTGTTTATGAGTGCCGGACGTCACTTTCAAACACTTTCAAAAATCTCAGACACATAAGATATAACAAAGAGCAACTTCAGTGTGCTGTGTATTTATGTAAATATCATAATAACTACATTAGGATTTATTGTGAAATGTTACACTTATTGGTTAAGATAGGTTTTTATTTACAGTCTTGCAATATAAAACTCTATATTTTTATTTTCAGAATATTAATGATCATAGACAATGAAGACAATAATTTAATAACAGCCAGAACTTATCCGGAAATGTTGAAAATAAAGACAACTTTCAACAAAGCCATAGTGACATTAAAACATCCTAAAATGGAACCTATCGACATTAACTTAGCTGAGGTATATTTTTTCCTTTTATATTTTAAAATCTTGTTAGTGACGATTTGCGCAAGATGGCTGGCAGGAGCTGGATGCGAGAAACCCTAAATCGATCTAAGTGGCGTGCAATGGCCGAGGCCTATGTCCAGCAGTGGACTGCGATAGGCTGATTATTAGAATGATAGAATGATGAATGATGACACTGATTATTAGACATTAGTTATTATCGAGAAATCTCACATAACCTTTATTTATAAATTTTTTAAGTTGGTTTGTGTATGCTTCTAAAACTCAAAAAGTTCTGCACCGTTGAGTTCAAATTTTGACACGATGTACTAGCCGCTTCAAAGATTGTTTTATTAATTTTTTGCACCAGTTTTGTTGCTCATTACCTATCAACGAAAACCCAATGTGCCACGGCGAAGTGTGTAGCTACAATAGTACAGCTAGTAAGTAATAAAAACCACACACATTTCTGTAGCTTAATAACCACGTTCTGAATGGATTCGAGAGGTATTTAAAACTACTGAACGCGATCCTATCGTAATATCCTAAAATAAAATCATAAATAACATTCATTATAATCTTAAAAAAAACTTGACGACTATCTTAATAATGGATGTAATCGAATTACCTCATTATATAATTTGCAAAATATGTTAAGGGACATGCCAGATATTTCATAAACCAAAAATGGAAAAACAAACAAAACACTACTTGCTCAGATTCTTAAAACGCATAAGAAGCAGTTCAGACTACAGGTCGTGAACAAGAAATAGGTATATACTATAACATGTGCATGTGAGCGAGACCGAACGGAAGCCTGTTAAACGTGGTAGTGTATCTCTCGCATAAGCAAACATAGTTAGGCACTAGCCATTGAAATTGTCTTCAATGAGGACTGCTACAAACTTTTACTAAGTTGGTTAATAGTAGCAGTTTCGAATTAATTTACCAGATAATGTCAATGAAAAACAGATTGAATTTTAATCAAATTAAAAACAAAACCACTTATATGAGTTTATTTCTCTATTCACTAAATAAATAGCGCTATTTAGGTCAAGAGAATAAGGCTGTAGCATAGTTAAATTACGTTGCAATATAATAATGTGTTGACAAATTTCAGGTTATACTGATGAAAAAGCTTATTCATACAAATGTATGGACATCGCCGGTGACTGCTTTCGATTGTGGGCAGGAGGTCAATGCATGGATTACCAAGTGAGTATTATACGAACACGAAATTTTACACATAAATCCTGTAACCTTAATAATTTCAAGTTATATTGCCGTGTAGTGACGGATTAAGAATACAGAGTGGTACTACCGCTATTCATCCCGGTGTCGGAAGAGCTGACTAAGGGAGCAAACTACGCAAGACGACAGCACTGCAAAGAGAAGGAAAACTTGAAACAAACCCTATACCACCAGGTCTGGCCAGCCTGTTATAGTAGGCCAAAACCTCTTTTCTAAGGAAAGGCCTATGTCCAATGTTGGATTATTAAAGGCTGTTGATGATTGCAACAAGACACAAGTATTTCTACAGGTCACAGGTCAGGTTCAGTCTTATTCTTGTACGTAATCGTCAATAGCTCTATTGTTAATAACCGAATGTTTAATAATGCAATAAAGGGAGATTTTATAATTACCAATCATTATATAGTAATATTTCAAATAATATTTAGACTAAGCAGTGCTTGTACTATGAAAGCTAGATTGACGAATACAGTACTTATATACTTTTTTTGTAAATACATACATATTATAAATGGAAAACACCCAAATTCCAAAACAAATATTTGCAGATCATACAAACATTTGGTCTGACCCGGGAATCGAACCCGAGACCTCAGTTTAGCAGTCGCATACGCTACCACTGCACCACCGAGGCAGTCAATAATTACGATGCTTTAGTTTATTACTACGAATACAATTGAAGCTCTATACTATTCAGCAAAAAAAACTGAAGCACAAGAGGAACAGTCGCCTCTGAGCCCTAATCGTATTAATTATCTGTAAAAAAGAAAGATAATCAAAATGTACTAAAAGCGCTACATTACATTTCAAAACTTTATATGTATATGATAATAACCTCCCAAAAGATCGCACGGTGAAAACCAAGTACTTAAAATTTTTAATAAATTAACGTAAATTTAAAGCAGCTTTCGCTCTTTCAAATAGAACATTTAGTACAGGCTGTGCGGCGCAAAAAAAAAACTTCATATTTAGAAAAATAAACTGGCTGGTTTTTCAACGTGATAATTCTGGTAAAAGCATTAGTTTTAAAAAAATACTTTTGAAAAATCTGTTCGTAGCAAGTTATTGAAAAAAAAACTTTACGTTTTCACGGTTTTGTCATGCATCTGGGAGATTTAAAATTTGGTTGAGCAACTCTTAACAAGGGCAACTCTTAACGAAAAAATGCATTTTTTTTTATTTTCATAGGATGCTTTCGATGCTTACGATCGCGCCATGCTTTTTCGAAGCACCTAGATTTTCATTTTCGCAAATTGTGACGCAAATGTATATTATTTTGCGACGTTTTTTTTTCAGAAAAACAGAATTAAAAACTATACTTAAATTAAGCCCCTAACAGATTTCCTAATAGTCATACAAGCTGAGAAAATGAAGGGCGAAAAAAATAGCGATTTTTTTTAGATAAAAGCTTGTTTTCTCGTAAAGTTTTTAAAGAATTTGACTTCACAACTCTCATTTTCTTCGTGTTTTTTCACACTACAACCTCCTATTTTTTGTTTTTCCCTTTTTTTAATAAATCGGTTTTCCGCCCCTGTTCGATTCGTAAAAGTATATATTTTCGGGTTCCTTTTTTATTACTATAATTAGCTTGTTTTCCTTTATTGTACTTGATAGTCTAACCTTTCACTTTATTAGTATTGGGACACGCAACAATCACAACATAATTATTTATAGGCAATCTCGTCATACCGTTATCAGATTTATTGATGATAATATTTTGGGTCAGGGTAACATGTCTCTTTGCGGCGGTAAGACCCGTTATGGAGGATTGGCTCGAGAGGCGTCACGGGACCCTCTCATACCGATTGACGCAGGTGATCACTGGGAAGGGATGTTTCGGAGATCACCTGTGTCTGATCCGCAAGGAGCCAACGCCTGAGTGCCACCACTGCGATGGCCAGACCGTGGACACGGCTCTCCACACGCTGGCAGAGTGCCCGGCGTGGGTTGAGCAGAGGCGAGACCTCGTGGCGGCCATCGGAGTGGGAGTTCTCTCGCTCGATATCCTGATTGCGGCTATCGTGCGGAGCGAGAGTGAGTGGAACTCTGCCGTCTCCTTCTGCGAGCAAGTTATGCTCGCGAAGGAGACGGCGGAGCGGGACCGGGAGAGGTTTAGAACTCTCCCGGCCCGCCAGGCCCGGGTACGGGCCAGGCAGCGCAGGCGACTCATGCGCCGGAGGTCGCAGAACGACCTCCGTCCTCCATAAGCGCAGGCCTGGGGGTGACAGGTGAGGCCATCTGTCACCCTAGCAGAAGCAGGCCGGGGTGGCGGCGAGCGCGTTGCGAAGCGCGCTCGCTTCCAGGGAGCACAGGGAACATGGGGTTCCCACACGGGGGGGGGTCGTCTACTCGTCTGTAGATGACCCGAGGTATGTCGGGGCACCAGGGACTTCCTTTCTAGGGTATACCTGGTTCCCCGGCTATTAGTACCCGGCGAAGGCGTGCGGTTTTAGTCGGTTCGAGTCCGACATGCCACCGACGGGTGGTATCCGAGGGGATTTCCGCACGGAAAAAAAAAAAAAAAAAAAAAAAAGGGTAACATGTCTCTATTATTGTTTGCTAGTTTTTGCTCAAGAGAAATTTTATTTTTCTATCCTGAGGATTTTTTTTTCTTTTATTTTTGTAAGTAAATAAGATATTTTGGCAGTTATTACAACAGATTAAGTATCAATTTTATTTGTAACTAGCTGACCCGGCGAACTCTGTTCCGCCTTAAAGTTGTTGATACACGACATTTTTTGTTTTCTTATCAGGCGCAAAAACAAACAACGCCGATGGTCTTCCACCAATACTCAACGTTGCAATGTGTCTTGAACGTTTTAGAAATAAGTGGCGAATATGGAACAATCCAACTGTTGTCGACAACGAAATCCATTCTTTTCACTTTTGTTGTGACAGTTCCACCGTTGTCATCTGGTGATCGACGCCGATACAAAAAAAAAAAAAAACGGAATAAATAGTATCCTATGTCCGTCTCCTGGCTCTAAGCTACCTCCTCACCAATTTTCAGCCATATCGGTAAAGCCGTTCTTGAGTTATAAATAGTGTAACTAACACGACTTTCTTTTATATATATAGATAGGATATCTTTGCCATTTGTAAACCGATTTACATATTAAATCTTCACTTAATCTTTTAATTAATTTTAATAAAGGTGGGATTACCCATTTACATTTAAAGAATATATTCCTCATATGAGTGTAGAAAATTTATGAGTGAAAATAACTTAATACCATTTGTCGTGATTTAGGTGCATTATAATCAGTGGAAAAAAATGACAAATTGAGAACCTTCTTCTTCAAGTTTGGCTTTTACAACCAGTACAATTTACAACCAAAACATTCGTTATTATTACATGAAAGTATATTCACACAAAGATTGTTTACTCATCAGAGGGCCTAGTGTCAGTTTATTTCACATAAACTCGATCGTCATGGTGACCGCGTTCGACGTTGTAATTGGCTCGCACTAAAATCTTTACCAATCAAAACGCCGAACCCGCTCGCTGTCGAGAGCGAATTGATGGGACAAATTTATAAAACTATTATCAGACCTGCCGTCCTGTATGGTTCTGAAAGTTGGCCCGTTAAGAAAACGGATGAGAGACGCCTGAACGTAGCCGAAATGCGAATGCTGAGATGGATGTGTGGTGTGACTCAGATGGACAAGGTTAGGAATGAGTATATACAAGGGAGTCTGAAAGTAGCGCCACTGGATGAAAAGTTAAGAAGTAATAGGTTATCTTGGTATGGACATGTCATGCGGAGGGATGAGGAAAATGTGGCGAAGAAAGTTTTAGGTATGGGAGTTGAAGGGTACAAGAGAAGAGGCAGACCGAAGAAAAGGTGGATGGACTGCGTGAGGGAGGATATGGCTAGGAAGGGAGTAAACAGTGAGATGACGCATGACAGAGTAGAATGGAAAAATCATACATACTGCGCCGACCCCAAATAAAATTGGGAAAAGGGTAGGCAGATGATGATACCCGCTATGCACTAATAATAAACTTGCACTACAAATTTTATGCGATAGTACTGCAAAAGCAGTACAGTAATACAAATACTCTTCGTAGTTTTACAACACAAAATCGATTTCTGGTAAACTATGTATTTAAAATAGAAACTATACATGAAATTCACGTTCTCCTATTTATTGTTTTCAGATGTTTAGATATTGAGGACACAACATTCACATTGGTGTATTACGGACATGAAAAGCATCGGGTAATAGCAGGAGCGACAGCAATGTGGCCGAACATATACGATAGGATGAAACAGAGTGACACAGTAAATAACTTGATTATATTTTCTTTTATGATACCAGTTACAAACAAGTACACGGATCACCTGGGCCTCAATTCTGCTATTTTATGTTAACACACAAGCCACTATCATTCCATTGACACGCTATTGAGATGCCATTGACATAGGTCAAAATATCGGTATTTATTTATTTTAAACTAAATGCACGTGTTGTACAAAGGCGGACTTAATGCCATTAGGCATTCGCTCCCAGTCAACTTTCAGGTGATGTAGAAATATGATGCGGTAGGTGCAAAATAAAATATTAAATCTAACCTAATTTAGGTCCAAAGACATACACAATATATAAACACACATACATACATAAACCTACATAAATTTAATAAAATATATAAATACTCAGTCGGGTACTAGCGTTGTGACTGCTCTGCCAATTCACTCCGAAGAAGATCGCGCACTTTCCTCTTGAATTCAAGGCGGTTTGTGGACATCCTGATTTCGGTATTCCAGAGAAGAACTGACTGGACGTAGAAGGAGGTGTTGATGAAGTTGGAGGTGTGAGGGGGTCATAGAAGAAGCACATTGTTGGTTGATCGAAGATTTCGATCGTGATTGGAGCATAAGAAACGGAAGTAGGGTACGTGGTATTCAGGTAACGATGGAGAGTTAAGGAAAGAAAAGAGAGAAGCCAGTGCTCGTAAGCTGCGGCGCCGACGAATTGGGAGCCATTGAAGCTGGGAACGTAACGCAGACACGTGGTCATATTGCGAAGATTGAAAACGAATCGAATGCAGTTATTGAGAAGGCGATCTAGTTTATTGAAAAGGTTTATAAAGTCCAAGTCTTTGTTGACTTTGTCGTTAGTGTATGTTATTTCCTAAACCCTTGTCTATGTGTACACTTGTAAGTCATCAGCGTACAGGTGATACGTACACTGAAGGTGCGGGGTTATGAGACCGCTTTGAGGGACGCCAGTGAGAAGATCACACCAACTCGACGACAAGTCATCAATATGAACACTCTGTTGTCGTCCCTGAAGATAGGAAGAGAACCATTCCAGAGCTTCTGAGGAGATCATAAGATAGGAAAGGATGGCCAGTAGAACGTCATGACTAACGGTATTAAAGGCATTCGAGAAATCAATCAAAGCCAGCACTGTGGCTCTAGTGTCCTCCATACCCTAATATCGCCTGTCACTGAGGAGAGCGGTGGTTGTGCTGTAACCGGGTCTGAACCCAGATTGTAAAGATTCTGCTGATTTACATACTGTGAGAGCTGCGTATGTACACAGGCCTCTAGCACTTTAGAAAGAAAGGGAAGTATAGAAGTTGGTCGAAAGAATTCGGGGAGAGAGGGGTTAGCTTTTTTGGGTAAAGGGACGATGAAGGCCTTACACCAGAGTGAGGGAAAGGTTGCAGAGTCGAGTGAAAAGTTTATGATATGAGATATTTCTGGAAGAATGTGATCCAGGATAGTAACAATCATGAGACGGCTGATACCGTCATATCCCACAGCATTGGAACGAATGGATAGGATAATCTTTTTGATGTCCTCAGAAGATACCGGAGAAAAGTTAAAGTATTCAATATCGGAACTCCGCCGTCTCGCGCGCGCCCTGTAGGTTGTACAAGGGGACATCGTGGTTCCTACACACGAGGAGGTCATCTACAAGCCGTAAATGGCCCGGGGAGTTCCAGTTCGGAGTTCCAGGGATTGCCTTTCTAGAGTACAACTGGTTCCCCGGCTACTGGTACCCGAGACGGCGTGCGGTTTTTGGTCGGTTCATGTCCGACATAACCACCGGTGAGTGGTATCCGAAGGCATTTCCGCACAGACAAAAAAAAGGGACAATAGACTGTCGATGTAGTCATAATGGTTCATCAATTTTAATATCAATAACATTGCAATATCTGGAAAATTAAATATATCATTTCCTTACAAATTTAGACTGTACCAAACTAATACAAAGATATCGATTTGTATCAGTGACAGTTCGATGACAAGTCATCCTTTAGTCTTACATAGTTAGTAGAATACGAATAGTGCAATGCTATTCCAACGAAAGTTCATCGACAGTCTATTGATACAATATTAAAGTAGCATAATTGAGGCCTTGATGGTTAGTAACTACTGCCGCCCATGGACACCTGCAACTCAAGAGACAAAATCTCTCCCACGATCAAAAACATAACGTCAATAATCACAAAATATCTAAAACTAAACATATTTGGTAATACGTCACACGTCACACGTCATCGCGGCGGTAAGACCCGTTATGGAGGATTGGCTCGAGAGGCGTCACGAGACCCTCTCATACCGATTGACGCAGGTGATCACTGGGAAGGGATGTTTCGGGGATCACCTGTGTCTGATCCGCAAGGAGCCAACGCCTGAGTGCCACCACTGCGATGGCCAGACCGTGGACACGGCTCTCCACACGCTGGCAGAGTGCCCGGCGTGGGTTGAGCAGAGGCGAGACCTCGTGGCGGCCATCGGAGTGGGAGTTCTCTCGCTCGATAGCCTGATTGCGGCTATCGTGCGGAGCGAGAGTGCGTGGAACTCTGCCGTCTCCTTCTGCGAGCAAGTTATGCTCGCGAAGGAGACAGCGGAGCGGGACCGGGAGAGGTTTAGGACTCTCCCGGCCCGCCAGGCCCGGGAACGGGCCAGGTACCGCAGGCGACTCAGGCGCCGGAGGTCGCAGAATGACCTCCGTCCTCCATAAGCGCAGGCCTGGGGGTGACAGGTGAGGCCATCTGTCACCCTAGCAGAAGCAGGCCGGGGTGGCGGCGAGCGCGTTGCGAAGCGCGCTCGCTTCCAGGGAGCACAGGGAACATGGGGTTCCCACACGGGGGGGGGGTCGTCTACTCGTCTGTAGATGACCCGAGGTATGTCGGGGCACCAGGGACTTCCTTTCTAGGGTATACCTGGTTCCCCGGCTATTAGTACCCGGCGACGGCGTGCGGTTTTAGTCGGTTCGAGTCCGACATGCCACCGACAGGTGGTATCCGAGGGGATTTCCGCACGGAAAAAAAAAAAAAAAAAAAAGGATAAAGGATATGAGAGGCTTGTATTGTTTCGCTTGATTGCAAAGACAAAACAATGCTTTTATATTAGAAGAGCAAATACTCCTAGATCAATATTAAAGTAGTACTTAAAAAAAGGAATATACATATACTACACATATGGGACATAATTGTGATTTTGTAATAATAAAATGCCTACTGTTTGGCTACAGATAAAACTTTTTATTTACCGCCGTCATTGAAATATTTATTATCGCATCTTTTCTTAGAAAAAAATAAGTTTCGTTTGGTGTAACCCGCGACAGTAAGAAACACTTTCAATTACATTTTCAGGGTGCTTTCTGTGATGAAGTAAACTGCCACGTTCTCAGTGAAGCCTCCCTTGATGATTTGAACTCACGCTTAAAAGAGGTTCAGGTTACTGACACTCACTTCAGACCTAACATCGTACTATCTGGGGGCAAACCGTATGATGAAGACAATTGGAAATTTGTTAAAATAGGAGAAAATATCTTTCAAGTTATTAAACCCTGCATAAGGTACGTTTTTAACCGTTTTTAGATATTAGTCTAACTGATCGAACCGACCAAGTTACTTAATTCGAGTTTTAAATTTTCAGATGCTTATTTACTACGAGGGATCCTGAAACCGGAATTCAGAACAAGAACATGGAACCACTCACAACTTTAAAAAGGTAATTTTGTTCATTGGGTATTTTGGTCAATCTAAAGTAACAATGTCATAGGTTTCAGTTTTAAACATTACTTAAAATGTAATGAACCCTTCCAATATATTTATCCCAATATTAAATGGCCTATTAGTCTAGTCTGGGTGTTCTTTGTGTCCGTTTCATGTATGTTTGTAAAGTTCCCCGCGACACATACTATATTCCTAGTGCGGTAGTTTTCTTTTTACATAAACAAATAAAGGTTGTTCTAACATATCTTAGGTATTTGTGGAAAAGCACAGTGATATTCTTCTAATGTAAGTTACTTTTGTCCAGTTATCGTCTAGCTAAAAATTCAGCGGAGCTTAAGATAGCGGGCGACTCACCGCTGATGGGCATTCACATGGCCCTGCGCAGTGGACCAGGGGGCAGAGTGTCTGTCAATGAACCTTTCTACGTCACTTACTAAAATTAATACTATTCATAAATTAAAACAATCTTACTTATACACTTGTCCAGCAGTGGACTATTAAACGCTGTTGATGTGATGTGACGTACTTAAGTTATGTAAGTTACACCTAAGTTTTTTATTTATTGTAATTATTGTAACTAATAACTAGCTATAAATACTTAAATTGTAAATTAAAACTTGGAATTTTATTTTTCTGCAAAAATCTATTTTACTTATTGCAATAGATCGCTCATAAATTAAAATTGACAATTTATAGGCTAAATATCGTCAATCTTAATTTGCCGTCTCCTTCGCAAGCATAACTTGTTCACAGAAGGAGACGGCGGCGTTCCACGCCGGGCATTCTGCCAACGAGTGGAGCGCCGTGTCCACGATCCAACCATCGCAGATGTAATGTGTGTATTCAGGTGTTGGCTCCTTGCTGATCAGACACAGGTGATCTCCGAAGCATCATTTCCCGGTTATCACCTGCGTCAGGCGATATCAGAGGGTCCTCTGCCTCCCGAGCCAATCCTCGTAAACCTGTTTTACGGCGTGCCCGACGAACAATCAGCCTTGTAATGCACTTGACTGAATCAATCATCTTGAATAAGTATAGGCGACCAAGAAATTGGTTTACCACTTTTGATGACATCTTCCAGTAACATAATTATTCGCTAAGGATTACTGTATTACATTAACGTAATTGGTTAACTGTGAGCCAATCACAGAGCAATGGTTAAAAGAGCATGCAACTTGAACTGTGATGTCAACGCAATAGAGAATATTTTATGTAAACACAAACCAACTTGTCCTTATAAATCAAGGAGGTTTATGCTAGATACCATACTTAAAAAAAACTAATTCATTTTCGAATCGCTTTTGACTTATGATCTGTCAAGTGTCAACTTCAACTTTTGGTTAATGGCTGTGTCAGTTATTGATCAACTCGAGTCACTTACTGTCAAGAAAATGTCGCGTAATTTAAACTTACAGGAAAGAGCCGAAATTATATCATTAAATCGGTTAGGATACAACATAAGTGATATTTCTAGAGAACTGAACATATCGCGATATACGACACGTTTTTGGAGAAGACGTGAAGGGGAAGAAGGTAATCTTCAAGATCATAGGCGAAGTGGCCGGCCGCCTGCACTGTCCAGCGAGCAAAGAGAAACCATGAGACGTCAGTACGAAGAGAACGGCTTCACTTCTACCAGCGATTTTGCAGAAGAATTCGATGTTACGAAAGAGACCATTCGGCAGCATTTGCATAGTATGGGATTGCATTACAGACGTCACTTGACGAGTACTTGAATTTCGATTGGTCTACTACGATATTAACGGACGAAAAAACGTTCAAATCTAGTCAACATGGTCGAATGACTCTCTGGCGTTACAATAATACTAAATACACTCAAGAACATGTTGTGCCGACCACGGAGTCTGGTAGAATCAGTGTAAATATTTAGGGCTGGATGTCGGCAGATGGAGTCGGAGAATTAAGCAGACTACCTCCGAAATCCAACGCTTTAGATTATGTGGATAATTTAGAAAATGCTATGTTGCCAACCGTCCGGAACGTCTTCCCGGAAAGCGATCTGCCTCAATTACATTTTCTACAAGACAACTGCAGATTACACACAGCTAGAGTGACGCGTACCTGGTTTGATCAACATTCATTCATTAACTTGATTCCATGGCCGTCTAAAAGTCCAGATCTTAACCCGATCGAAAACCTTTGGGGACTTATGGTGCAGCGATGGCATCACCGCAATGAGAGAACTCGAGATGCCATCGATAGTCATTGCCATGAAGTTTGGGAGGCTTTGCGCGGGACAGACATTTGTTCACGCCTCGTTGGCTCTATGAGAAGTCGCTTGTTAGCAGTCACCGAAGCTAATGGTGGAAACACGCGTTATTAGGCTGATATTTCCCTATAATTTTTTTTTACAATTAAATGATACTGTTACGTTTTATGAAGGACAATAAATTTATGTTATTTTTAAATGATAAATCATTGTTTATTAGTAATCCTAAAACCCTTTACGCTACTAGCAGGAAATGGGACGTTTTGAAATCTATTATATAAAACATATATAATAAAGTTTAATTCCCTGGATTCAAAATTCAATTATTTTACGTCGAGACTAAACAAAACGTTTTATTGCACATAAAGTAGCAGGAGGTTAAATTGCAAGCCATCAGTTCTGAGTTTAAATAAACAGGAATGACAGATTCTGACGTGGCAGTTATTAATCTGTCAAGCGAAAATAGCCCTTGATGTTTTGTACGTGCAAATGATATTCAGCCTTAGAGTGGTAAACCAATTTCTTGGTCGATAATACAAAATAATATATTATGTTAAATGTATAATAAAGAGCTTTAGTATATATTCACTGCAAACACGCCGTGCACTGCTACTTACACTTCTTTAGTAGGTACTTTAATTATACAAAGACAGTTTATTTGTTTAGAAACATAGCCCAACTTCATCACAAGATCATTTCGAGCGCGGTGTGACCGGATTTATCTAAACAGGATAAATAATAATAATAATAAAAATGTTTATTTCATCTCCACAAATTACATTTTGTTTTATATTTAACAGTTGACAGGAAAACTGTCAAGAAATTTGCAATTTGTGGGAGATCTGGAGTCTAAACTAAGCCGAGGCCTGTACTATAGATCTCCAAAATAACATAAGTAGATCTTTACATAGTATAAAATCAAGTCGCTTTTGGTTTTTGTGCGCTTACATTGCAAACGCTGGTAGACCAGTAGACTAAAAAAGTGGCTGGACGAAATTCCTAACAGGTAGCAACATATATTTTCGACTGTGTTTATGGATAAGGGACGTCCCTATGAGTCGGAACATAGTTTTTTTCATATAACTTTTTTTATAACAACAGTATTTTGTAAATAGGTTAAAAACCGGTTAGCAATATCTGCAATTAATGTTTTAAGTTTTGTAGGCGATATAATAACAGTTAATCTGCCAGCGAAAATATCAAAATCGGTCAATATTAGTTGTAAATAATCGGAATATACTGCCGAAAATCTGTTTTTTTTTTTAGTTTGTTAATAATAATCCTACAGTCATGAGACTTGGTGACAAAAAGGTATTTTGATACTATGAAAACACTATAATTAAAAAAAAAAAATTGCACACTGTTGAAGAAAATGCATTTAATAGGTCTTTACCTTGCACCTACCGACTATTACTTTTTCCAAAATTTAGACAACTTTTTAGTGGGTAAAAAAATCAATTCCCGAGAGGTAGTACAAAATGTCTGTGAAGAGTTTGTTGCCTCCCGTCCAGCTGATTTTTACAAGAAGGGCATCAATAAACTGCCAATGCGTTGGCAAAGATGCGTCGATTGCATGGGTGATTACTTCAAATAACAGAAATAAAAAAATTGAAAAAAAAAATACTTTCACTTATTGCATACAAAACGGCAATTTCATAGGTAAAGACCTATTATTTAATAGAAAGGTGTCAAATGTTTAATTCAATCTGATCCAGTTCCCGTTATCAAAAATTTCTTTACCGCAGCTCATTTTTTTTATTTTTACGTCTAGTTTAACATTCTTATTTTATTTATGACTTCATGCTCAAACATATACATCGGCGGACTTAATGCCTACGGCATTCTCTGACAGTCGACCGATTGGGCGATGCAGAGGAAGACTGAGGCAGGTGCACTTATGGGGATAAATCCTGTTTTCTCTGCATCATCCAATAGTTGACTGGTAGAGAATGCCTTAGGCATTAAGTCCGCCAATGCACCAAATGTGCATGATGTGTAAATAAATAAATAAATGATAAAATCTTTATTCAGTGCCTACTATTTGTCCTTCGAATAGACAAATTTTACGCAGTAATTCTTACATATACCCGACTTAACGCATTTACATACATACATATATATACATACATATATGTATATATATGTATGTATGCCGCATAAACCTCAGTGGTTTAAGGCTTGCCTAAATTTAACTAATTGTGTAGTTATGTAAATAAATAATAAATAAATACACATATTTAGAAACATTTATAAAAAATATTATAATTGTGGGTGATGAATTAAGAGACCGTTGATTCTGCCAACTCACTCAGCAACTGCTCCTTTACCTTCATCTTGAAGGAGTAGCGATTTGTGGCCATCTTGACTTCGACAGGAAACACATTCCACAAGAGGATAGATTGAAGTGAGAACGAAGAGCCGACAAACCCAGTAATTTGAATACAAAGCAGAAGGACATTGTTAGAAGAACGAAAGTTTCTGTTGTTATTGTTGCGCCTTTTTATTATACTAATTTAGAAATAATGATTCTGAAACTGATTCATAATTGATCGCTATATTGCCAAAAAGTGAAGATGTTTTTTGAACTTTTGGTGTTTTTTCAATCACTTGTAATTTATGGAATTTGTTAATATTAACTTTTTTTTCATGGCTATTTATAGTATAGGTATTAAAGATTAAATCTTTAAAATTCTACATTTATAACTTAAATAATAAGCATTTTATTCGAAAAATAAGCTGCAATTTCTACATTGCAGCTTATTTTTTATCCAGAATCTTTAAACGCGATTACCCAAAAAACTACTTTTTTGTATTATGCCTTTGTTTACCAAGGGTGCGATGTGTCCTGGGTGGAAATCAACGATCTCGGGCTTAGCAGTCAGGGTCACTAACCACTAGGTCAACAGGCCAGTCACAATATTTTGCCTGGAAACTAGTTGGATAAAAAAATTATTACGAGTTGCCCGATAATTACGTTTGGAAAAGGAAGTCGGGAATACAATATGTCCAAAGTAAAAACAAAAAATTCACAAAGTATTATTTAATTCAAGATAGAATTTTTTTCACACAAAACTAATTGGTGAATGTTAAGACACACGCGCGTGTCGTTGCAGCCGTTCAAATTTGACAGTCGTCTCGGACACGCTTATTCGAACATGATAATATAGTTATTTGGTGGCATTTCTAGCTACAGCTCTCTATCTATCTCAGTTCCGTACGTACGTATATCGGTAGTCTACGTCCTACACGGCTACACCATTAGTTAGTTGGGTTGGCTCTCGTCTCTTGATAACTCGTGTTTACATTCAATATAAAATAAGTGCTACATTTTTCTGTCACAAAATGCCAGTATCCAACCCTGGTAAGTTATTTTATTCTATTTCAAGATGACAAAAGTGTATATACTCACCTAGTTTTTAATGTTGAAAACGATGAATGCAGAGAATGTTTTTCAAAAATGTTGAATACCTAACCTACAAACTGAAATGTATTCTTAATGTCATTGGAATCTTTAATTACCCTATACCATAACCATGATTTTACAAATTTTACCTGAATTCGAATGAAATTAATAGCAAAACAAAATCTTTGAGGTACGATGATCTTTCGTTTGTGTAACTCAGTTTGACATATTTTCATATCATTTCGTCATGCGAATAAGACAATAATTAAATTAACCTAAAACGAAAACTACATATACTTCCATAATACGTATTAACAAGGTCATTCCAATTTGCATTAGTTACCTAAGTTTTAAACACTAAGATTGTAGGTAACTATTTTCAATTGTACACGTTATCTATAATTGATAACTTATATCATAGTAAAATAAAGTTTTTAATAGTCATGTTGCCTTCTTACGCAGTATATTCAATTGGAGCTCAAAAAATAAATAAGCAAAATATAAGCAACAGGAGCACTGTAGCACGGTACAATTACTGTAGGCTGATCAACTTTGACATAATTCTTAGACAGTGTTGTGCCAAATCATTTGCATAATTTGATTTAATCCAAAGGTTTAATCCAAAGATTTAACTGTTAATATTATCAAAGCGTCGGAAAGTTGACTGAAAGACCATAATATTTCGTATCAGTAAAAATATTAATGTCACGCTAAGGTTATCGCTTCTCGCATTGATCTTCGCTTCTCCTAATCGAGCTTGTTTTTCAGACAAACTGAATCGAGTATTTTGGCATTATTTGGATTAAATGGTGTTAAGATTAAGTTTAGGTAATAGATTGATGATTTTAACACATTCATTTTGTTTCTGCTGTGTAAAGATGCTAAGATGCTGCCAATGTTTGTGATAACTAGAAGATGCACAGACACAAGCAAATACTCACGTTCACCTTCACCCAGATACACCAGCACGAACACACAGACACAAGAGCGAACCCAACCATTAAACTAATATTACTAGTACATTATAACTCAATGGACCCAACACGCCTAGGCCTATTTGCACACAGGCACATGTATATACACCGGCAGACCGTTTTATTGAGTCATTTTTCCAACTTCTGTTTTTTACACGCTTTTTATTAGCTACACCTGTATGTTTGTTTGTAACCGACTTCTTTGGGCGTGATTTTGACTGACTTTAAACGGTCAGAATTCGTTCAAACTTTGTAGATATATCGAGGACTGATGTCAATACACTAATTTAAAATAAAAAATAAAAATAAATAATATTTAAAAAAAGAGTAAAAAATTAATAGATTAAAAAAACTAAAAAACACGCATTTTATAGAAAACCAAACTAAAAAAATAGAAAATAAATTTTAATAAATTTGAAAAAAGAGCGTGGGGTGCTTTTTTACTATTGACATTTTTAACATTTGATTTATTGACATTGACATTGTTTTTTTAAACTATGTATTATTATTGTTTTCGTCTTAATCAATACTCAAACTACTACAAACTACGTAATATTTTACCAAATGCAAAAGACGTGGACAGCTGTTTATGAAGTAAATACTAGTAGTTTGACAATATTGCTTGAGAATAGCTTTAGAAAACTTTATGCCCGAGAGTTTGTGAAATAACATTTTGTAACGCGCATTTAAATAAATAGAATATTTGTTTTTTTTGTGCAGATATTATGATGCTATGTATGTAATATTACTTTACATAAATGTGATACGTAATAAAGTTTTCCCTTTTCACTTTAACTTACCTAATCAAATCAGTTCTCATTTTCTAGTTTTGGTCCATCGGAATGCTGAAGCGTTAGTATGCTCTATTGTAAAATCTTTAAGGTATCTTATTGCAGTATATCTTACAAATGATTATAAACTCTTCATACCGGTAAACAGACCTAATGATTGTTATGATCTGGGTGACGCCTGCTCCACCGACAAAACTGACGGTTCTACTCGATTAGTCTTCATGATGTAGAAAAGTTTTATTTCCATGAGATTATATGACTTTCGTTTTAATCTTGTAAAGAACTTACGATGGATTAAGTTGAATAATGTTTTCTAAAAGGCACGCATTGGCCAAAGGCACACATTTACGCATTGTTGCAGGCAGAAAAGGTAACCGGTGCTACCTCGTCGTTATTACTATGAAAGTAATAACTACCTCTCCCCTTTCTTTTTCTGTGAGGTACATACCACCCACCAGTGGGTGATTATGTCAAACTCGAATCGATCAAAAACCGGACGCCGTCTCCAGGTACTAGTAGCCGGGGGACCAAGTATACCCTAAAAAGGAAAGCCCTGGTACCCGGACGTACCTCTGGCTTATAGATGAACCCGTGTGGGAGCCCGGATGTTCCCTTTCTGCCCTCGACGCCTCACCTGTCAGGCCTGCGCTTATGGAGGACGGAGGTCGTTCTGCGACCTCTGGCGCCTGAGTCGTCTGCGGTACCTGGCCCGGACCAAAACCTGCTCGCAGAAGGAGACGGCGAAGTTCCACGCACTCTCGCTCCGTACCATGGCGGCAATTATGTTACCGAAAGAGAGAATTCCCACTCCGACGGGCGTTACTATGCCACGCCTTTCCTCCACCCACACCGGGCAAGGTGTTTCTCACGCCAAGGTGTACCACGAATAATAATTTTCTGGCTAATCCGTCTAAAATCAAGAGTATATAATTTATACTCAATATTTTAAACCACTAGTTTTACAAGCACACGGGCCAAGGCACACAGGCTTCAGTAACTCCTGTTTAGTTAGATTAAGTATTATATACCTACTATCAGTCGAAGAAGTTTGGAATGTACTTAATATGTAAAACAACACGATATTCTAAATTTAACCTTATAAGACTCAATTATTTAGTTGTTTTTAACCTCGAATATTTTCTTATTAAACTCATAAATATTCACATTACGTTCAGATCATTTTTATACATAATTATGCATTTCATTCATTGGTTTATTTTTCAGAATAAGTCTTTTTATTTCTTTTTCTAGTTCCATATTATGTGACCGCAGCAGTGTCTGCGGTCGGGTTATTGGCAACCTTTTACGCCCATAAGCGTTATCAGGAGAAAAGGAGAAACAAGTTACCGGAAGAATGGGTACATGTCGGTCATCTCAAACGCCTTTATGCGTATCCTATAAAATCTTGCGCGCCTATCGTATTAAACCAGGCTGAGTGCTCTATTATGGGGCTAAGGGACGGCTGGCTCCGTGACAGGTTTGTATGATTACATTTAGACAGAATATAGTACGAAGTATGTAGATGCACGATAAATGATGTAAATCCGACTATTATAACTCAAGATCGCCAGAAATACCAAGCCTGTTGTTCCGAAGGCCAATTCTCGTAAGTCACAATTCAGTTCAAATGTCATTAAAGGTATATTCGTAGTAAAGTATTAAACATCCAACAATGACTGTAATATGATTATATCGCATTGTGGCCGAAACTTGAATCAGTCATCTGCTAATATTAGAAATACTTTACTACTTTACTACGAAAATACCTTTTGATATTTGTGAGTATCGGGAGATCGAGAGTGGATCGGAGCTGAATTTTAACAGAATATAATTTTTATTACGAGAATTAAATTGGCCTTCAGTTCAGTTTGAAGTATTTGTAATAACAGAATGTCAACCTAATATACCCGTGAAAAATTACATTGTGCAAAGACTTGAAATTTTACAAATATTTTCATCAGAAACCACACAGTTCCTCCCATCCCTCACTTTGAGTCACTCAGCATCACGTAAATGTTTCATCCGTCCACGGCTTAGCTTAGAAACTGTTAGTACTCTAAAGCCGCAAGTTCTTATGGATTTTGACATAATAATTATTTTATGGTACCTACCTACCTTATACGTAGTCTTTATCATCATCGTCCTCTTTATCCTTGTCTGAATTTTGAGTCATTCCACTGAGGTTCACTTCTAATATTCACACCGTGTGGTGACGAATTAAGAAGAAAGGAAAACTTGGAACAAACCCTATACCAACATGTCTGGCTAACGTCATATAGTAGGTCAAAACCTTAACGTGGGAGAGCCAGCCCTAACAAAAATGGGCCGGCTCAAACTTTCAAGAAAGGAGCGTTCTCCTTCCTCAAAGGCCGACAACGCGCTTGTGACTTCTGAGCTGCAGGCGTTCATGGGTGGCGGTAGTCGCTTTCCATCAGGTAACCCTTCTGCTCGTTTCCCCTCTCTTCCATATGGATTACGAGTTTCACTACAACTGTAATTTAGACCTAGTTTAGTAGAGATTCCTAATCCATCACCACACGTGACGGATTAGGAATACGGAGTGTGCCTACGGAGTTCTTTCATCCCGTGGGTGTCGTAAGAGCCGACTAAGGGAGCAAACTACGTAGGACAACATCACTCCACAGAGAAGGAAAACTTAAAATAAACCCTATATCAACCCATCTGACCAGCGTGGTATAGTAGATCTAAACCTTTTTAAGAGAGGCTTATGTCCAACAGTGGACTATTAGTAGGGGAGCCATGATGCTAAATGGGGATTTACTCGAGCGTCATGGGGATCTATTGCATTTGAAAGATTAAGTGATAGAATGAAGAAAACTTTCTACAGGTTTTCAAAAATGTAAGGGGAGGGAATAAAAAAAAGGAATTCGGGCGCATCAGATATTTTGGTGATATGTTATTTGGACGCTAAAAATGCCCCCATTGAAAGGTCTGACGATTTTTAAAGTGACACAAGCTAATAGCGAATTATCAAAAATGCAAATTCCAAAAATCGCCCTTATGCAATACCCGAGCGAGTTAGATTTTATATAGACGGTTCAGCTAAATCTTCCTGTCATACTAGCCAAAAATCTGACGATAACTTTGCAGAGTACTTTAAATCTGACGGTTAGAAATATTTTGATTCTTTGATTTTTGTAAAGGTTTCTGACATTGTTTTTTTTTTAACTTTGTGACCCTCCCACTGCATTATGTCACGCTCAAATCGTCAGATTTTTTAAATACACACTACACGATCCCCCCTATATGTAGGGCTCATGTATGGTGGAGGTACTCATTTCTGTGTAAGGAATTTCTCCTACGATAATCTGCTACGCTTGAGTAAATCCCGAAATCCCTTCTAGGATCTATTGATGTAGTTTAGATAAGACTGGTACTACATATTATGTGATATTTTTCTCCGTAGGATACTGATGGTTGTAGAAGCCCCAGAAAACAATTTCGTCACAGCTAGAGTTTACCCGGAACTATTAAAAATATCGTGTTCTATTAAAAAGGCTATCCTGACCCTGAAACATCCCAATATGCAACCCATCGAAGTTAACTTGGCCGAGGTAAGTGATATCGAAGTTTCTTACAAGTAAATTATGAATAAATGCAATAAACTTAGAATCATTACAGTTACATTCTTGTTACATCTATATGCCGATAAAATAGGCGATGACCTGATGGACTCAGTTCAATATAAAACTGAGCAACTGGCAGTCGAGTCTTGTTGGTCTAAATATACCTAAGGCTCATTAATGAGCTACAGCAAAGTTCATAGCAGACTCTAGCTGATTGAAAAAGTATGACTTCAATACTCTTTTAATTGTACTTGCTTAGCTCTTTTGTACTTAGTTGTCTCTTTTCTCAGAGAAGTCTGTAGTCTGTATATTGCATTGCTAAGTTCTATTCTTTTTGTTACAAAAATAAACCTAAATTATAATAATTTAAACTTAGTGTTTAAATAACCTAAACAAATTGAGAGTTTATGCCCATATGAACTTTTAGTTGCTCCGAATCGATATAACCGTAATTGGTAAATATTATGAGCTCGTTTAGTCGATGTTAACATAATATTACAGACAGTTAAAGAATTTTTACCAACAATTTTTTTCAATAATATAAAATATTGTAGGTAATGGTGACGCACAAACTTATACAAACGGTTGTTTGGTTTACGCCCGTGACCGTTTACGACTGCGGACAAGAGGTCAATGATTGGTTCACCAAGTACGTATTGACACAAAGTGTTTGTCTTTTTATAACGATAACATCACTGTTTAAATTTCTTTACTATTTATTACCTACCAACGCTACATTCATATCTTATCATTTATGAGGCAATAATTGGATATATAATTGGATACAAATTTAAAATATAGAGTGAAGAACTATATATTTATTTCTAACGGTTTAAGATGCCTGAATCATGAGGGAAATAACTTCCGTTTGGTGTATTATGCATCACAAAACAGTCGCCCTGTAGTGGGAATGCCTAAAATATTTGACAAGTGTAGAGATACTGATGCGGTGAGTTGTTTTGTTTTATATTATCTTTACTAATATTATTGTTTGTATGGTTGAACGCGCTAATCTCAAGAGCTTCTGGTTCGATTTGAATAATTAGTAGCTAATTTAAAACATTTTCAATACTACTATTATATATATAAGCATATCTAGCTTTAATATAAGGTGTAGTCCAGGATTAATAAAAAGGAAGACGATAAATGTATGTGAGTTTTTCCGAAATATAAAAAAATTACAAACCACCCAACAAATTGAGGTAGCTTTGATCTCTATGTAGTAAACTCTAGTACAAACCTTTTAGTATTGCAGGCATGTTCTATACAAGTGCTCACGCTGTTCAATTCCCACCGGCTTAGCTCAAGGTCAAGTCCCGTGGTCAGAACAAAAGAATTGAAGTCTTAGACAAGTTGACAATCGTTCAAAGGGATAGAATGGAATGTAATCGATTCTACATTTTAGCAGCAGGAAGACTATTGCTAAGCGCAAAACTCGAAAATGGCTTGACCATTTTTTTTTTCTTATTTTCGTTAAGGCTAAAATTTACCAGGAAAATAGAAAAAACATTTGACGTCAATCAAAACCAAACAAAGGATTATCTTTGGTTAGAATTCAAGTTTATTAGGCTGTATGGATATTAATCTACGCCTGCCCAAAATAAAGTTCGATCACTCTGAAATAAGTTTTATTTTTTCTATTGGACTGCGACAGGCCAATGACTTTTGACAGAACAAAGTCTGTCAAGCAGCTATTATTAAAATAATATTAATCATTACGGAATGCGTATAATAATGCTCTTCATGCGGGCTATATTGTTTAGTTGCTCCTTCAGTAAGACATTAAAACTTAGTATAATCATTTATACCAAACGTCGAAGAATGTCTACTTAATAGCATAAGATAAAGTAAAGAATTACAAATAAATTTGTGATTTTCTTATTTGGCGTAAGAATTTAATAGGTATATTACCTAAGGATTTCAACATTCAATTTATCGACTTATAAAACTCAAATATTGCCTTGTGGACATGATATTATAAAAGGATATTAAATATTTACAGGGAGCTCTAGTGGATGAGTTGGCCTATAATATTATAAATGAAGCTTCAGTTGAAGAATTGAATACTCGCCTCAAGGATACTAAAGTTACTGAGTCAAACTTTAGACCTAACTTTTTACTGTCGGGAGCTGCAGCTTACGATGAAGACAATTGGAAATTTGTCAAAATTGGTGAAAACATATTTGAAGTAATAAAGCCTTGTACGAGGTAACTATCATTACTGTTTGGTTTTTTATAAAGCTGTGAGTTATTAACCTAACGATTTTTTTTAAATAATTCTTTAGGTGCACACTTACAACTATTGATCCTGAGACAGGGGTACGTAACAAGAACATGGAACCACTGGGAACACTGAGGAGGTAATATGTCCTACCCTAAAACTATACCACACATCTATATATCTATCTTTGTATATAACATTTAAAATTACTTGCCCTGACTGACTGCTTCATCAACGCAGAGCCAAAACCGCTGGGGCTACAATCTTGAAATTTTGACAGTTGATGCATTTTATGTTGCAAGCACTAAGGATTTTTTGAATTTTATTTCAAATATCTATACATCAATCATTGGCGATTAAAATATTAACGGTTTTTTATGATATTTATTTCTGAAAGTATTCTTTGCAAAATTTTACAAGTCGGACATTACAGCCAGATGGCGCTGGCATTCCCTAAGAATAACTCTCTAATTCACTTTTTACAGTTACCGACTATCTGTGGACCCGGAAATGCTTAAGGTGACTGGCGAGTCGCCGAGGTTGGGTACACAAATGGCCCTGCGCAGCGGTCCAGGCGGCATTGTTTCCCTCAACGATCCTATCTACGTCGCATATTGAATATTATGTTTAAACAATATCACAAATATATTATACGCATGTTTAAAATGGTCTCTACCAGTTCTTTAACCTATTCGCGGAGCTTTTTCAAAAAAAGTATGCCACTTAATGTAAAAAAAAGGTTCTATCTAGAAGATTAGATTCACCTTCTAGAACTCATGCACCACAGTGTAGCGAGGGTACCTTAGTGTTTAACCAAACGTTTGGGTGTTCAGTACTACTTGTCCAAGAGCATACCTGAAAAAATCGGCCATCATCATAGCGGATCATTGTGCTGTTTTAGTCGAAATGATAACGTTTTAACGCCATCATTAGTCACTATTAAAACATAGTTTCTTTAGTAATATTTATATAAGTTTTAAATTCTGATCAATATGAAATATTATAGCTATAATTTACGTATCTACTAGTAAAAATATAATTCGATTCTAATAAATAAACATGAGATCGGCAGACATTATTATTGCAAAAGTACTGAAACAGTGCTATAAGCGATTTAAAACTGAAAATTTTCGAAACGATTACAATTTTTTTAGGAATATAATTTTTTTTTAAATGAATTTTTAATAAATGTTGTTTATAAATGTAAAAAAGTAACTTATTTCAATATTACTCAATTTTTAATAAATATTTATCTGAACAGTCATTTACCGTTAAAAATTATTTATGTTTACCCTACGAAGAAAGAAATGTGCGAATCTTACTCGTACCGAGGGAGTTCGTCGAGGGTACCGTACAAACTTGTATGTGGATAGTTTTATATCTCGGCCATTGATTGTCGAAGAATAGTTTCTAGTGGCGACATTTCCTTCAAAAAATACTCTCTTATACTTTCTCCCTTATTAAAAATGTATTGGTTAAATAGTTTTTTAACCAGACATTGCAAGGTTGAGAATATCTTGTGACTTTTACAAAAAAAACAAATATTTTAAGTAAACGATCAGTTTTTCTCATTTTATTAAATGCGTACAATTTGCGCTGCAATGCTCTTATGAGAGTTGTTGTCGTTCGCTATTGAGATGCGCGCGAATGTACCGCCGCCTGTTCCTTTTGTTAAATGTTCAGGATTTACTACGACGCAGCCGTTGACCTCCTACAAAGACATGGTATTTTATAACTATTGAAATTGCTATAAAATTTACACAAAATAAATACTAGAAATTAGCGTTTGGTCCTATATATTAACTAATAAAAAATAATCTGTTTTAAGAGTAAGTCAAAACCTCCTTTCTAAGGAGAGGCCTATGTCCAGCAGTGGACTATTGAAGGCTGATTATGTGTAGTAAAAAATATTATAGACTTATACTTAAGCAGAAATATCAGAATTTAACAATACAAATAATATATATTGCAAACCTTAACAAAGTATCTGAAGTTAGACGGCAGCACTAGCACGTGAGGTGTGGTCGACATCTGCGCGTGCGCCGCCCACAATGCGGCGTCCAGCGCCAAAGAGGGCGCAGCTGGACACAACGGGTAGTACGTCTGCTGCATTAGTACATGGCCAGCTAGTCGCGACAGTTTGTCACCTGCCATGCCCCTGGAGATCCAATAACCAAATTTCTTAATGTATATTCTATGTATTGTGTATAAAGTGATAAATATCCTTCTAATGGTATCCTGGCACCATATTGGTAGCAGTTTCAGGTACTAGGGGACAATATGTTTATTTGCAACATTAGTAGTAGTTATAACGAACTTACGAAGATATCTCTTCTTGACTAATGTGCATCAGGACATCTGTGCTGGTGACACCAACAATTACGCCGTTGATGTTCAATGTGCAGGGATCTGGTATGAAATAAAGATTGGTGTGTTTTCGCCGACTGGAGTATGCTGGTGTGGGGTAGATGTTTACGTGAAAAGCGTCCTTACTACTAGATACTATATATATTTTTGTTAATGGGCTGAAAAAAATCAAACGATAATTTATAATTACTTTTCTATAACAACATTGTCATCATCATCATTCGACTCCCTCGGTAGAGCAGTGGTAGCGTATGCAACTGCTGTGCCGAGGTCTCGGGTTCAATTCTGGGGTCGAACCAAATACATAATCTGCAAAAATACTTGTTTTCTATGTATAATATGTATGTATTTACAAAAAAGAAAAGAATATAAGTATTTCATCAGTCAATCTAGCTTTCATAGTAAAAGCTCTGCTTAGTTTGAAACTAGGTAGCGTTGTGTGTAAGATGTCCGAAAATATTTTATTATTATAATTATCATTTGAATAACATTTTTAATTACTGTTGCTTACTTTCTATTATATGAACATCTTATACATCATAAAAATGGTGAAGATAATTGTTCCCACGTGTTAACTGTTCACATTCTCTCTCTCTCTCTCTCTCTCTCTATCTATCTCTCTCTATCTATCTCTCTCTCTCTATCTATCTCTCTCTCTCTCTCTATCTATCTCTCTCTCTCTATCTATCTCTCTCTCTCTATCTATCTCTCTCTCTCTATCTATCTCTCTCTCTCTATCTATCTCTCTCTCTCTTTCTCTATCTATCTCTCTCTCTCGCTTTTCATTCAATTCAATACTCCATTTTTATAGAAAGTTTCAAAAATACCCCAATAATTTTTAAGAGAGAGCAAAATGAATCAAATTGGAAAGAATTTCTTCTTAATAAATACACGATCTCAAGCTAATAAAATAAATAAAACAGAAGTTTTATTGTTGTTCAATACTTTTAGAGGTATAAAAAATTACGTAAAGGCCATTGTATAGCCATCTAGCGATAAAAAGTGTAAGAATGTCAAAGGTCCGTTACCAAAGAATGTCAAAAACCGTTACTTATAACCTAAGAGTGTAAGGTTTTTGTTATTATTTCATGTTCCATGATCTACAGAAAAAAATAGTTAGGCAAACGACACCCATCCTTTGGTCAAGGACGTAAAAAAAATGTTGAAAAAGATTATCCTTATTTTAGTTCCTTTCATACAAATAACTATGACTGACATGATTAAGCGGTCGCCACGCCGGTTACTACTACGCTGTGTGTTGTGGGTCCAATCCCCACATGGGACGACACTTTGTGTGATCTACAAATTGTTGTTCTGAGTCTGGGTGTCCTTTGTGTCCGTTCAGGTATGTTTGTAAAGTGTAAAGTCCTAATTCTAATAAAGATATGTATATTCCTAATGCGGGAGTTGTCTTCAAAACTGATTCTAACTGAATCTCAACAATCTTTAATTATTGTCTATAATTTTTTTGTTAATAAATTGCTTTTTTATAAAGCATCAAGATCGCAGTTCAGCAGCCAACAACTGGCACAGTAAAAGGAGTGATGTATTTTGAAAAACTTAATCGATTTAAATTATATCTCACCTTGAATTACTTAATTCACCTAAATTATCGACTAATTTGTCAAAAAATGATTTGTATGTTTCTGCCATAGTGTTGTCCTTTATTTTGGTGTGGTCACTATCTAGGAATGGCCCAGTCATTATAACTACGTGAGGTTTGGAAGTGCTTATGTATGTGATTAGGTCCTTGAGAGGTTCATAGGCCATATTGTCAGATGTTGTATATGGTCCTGCGGCTATCACCAACGACATTTTTCCTAAAACATTAAAACGCGTGATTATAATTTAACATAGGTAGTTACGCGGCTCATTACCTTTTTCGAAGCACGTATAACCCAATGAGTTTTAAAGAACTAATTACAGTTATATTTGTTTTTTTTAGTGTTTTTAATATTTTTAGGTAGGTTTAATATAATAGATAAACTTTATGAATGAAACGAAATGTGTATAACGCATTATTTGCCAAGGTGTTTTTTAAATTTAATTTAATTAATCCTTCCAAATAAATACAATATTCATAAAATTGCCCTCATTCTCATTTAATAAATCTTAGGATATATCATAGGTTTAAAATAACTCCGCAACAAAAGTATGATCAAGTAGTAGGCGCGCATTTATTATGTGCAAGGCCAGTTATCTGTGCGAACTGTGAGATACCAGCCGCGCGCAAGGATGTTAGACATACCAATATCATGGTATACGTACCTATTTTCATTTTCTTGTACCATTTACCAAGTGAAAATTGTGCTGGTACGCAATAATACCAACTTTCTATACTGATCATACATAAAAAAAATCTTGTATCTAACAATACGAGTGTTTAAGATCTTGCTGTATGTCATTATTACAACATTCATTATTGTAAAAATTTACTTGTCAAAAACTCGGCAAACCTTTAAACAACCTGTTGCGGAAACAGTTTTCAAACACCTCATCAGATCCATCTTAATTTTTTTTTGTTGTTTTACTTTCACTTCTAGGATATATTATATGGATAATCCATTGGATATATATATATATGTATGTATATATATATGTGTATATATAATATAATTATATATATGTATAGGTGCATATGGATATATAAATACTTATGTATTGTATGTGTTAGTATTATTATCACTTATTGTAAATGTATTTTTTTTAATATTCTAATGTAGTTAATATGGTATATGATATCCTATATGTGCTATATTTTTTCTTAAAATCACATTTTTAATTTATTTTGTGCATCTACCATGTTTTGGCTCTGCATTGCCCTATGGTTGACTGGGAGAAAATGCCTACGGCATCAAGTCCGCCTTTGTCACATTTGTGCATAAAGTGTAAAATAATAATATTAATTTTTGACCCATTGAGTAACGTACGTAGTACGTTAACTTTATCGATCGAGCGAATTGATGACGGGTATGATCTTGTCAGAAATTAATATAAAAATTCGGTCAATGTAACTCACGGTTTATTTTCAAATTATGTATAGACATTTTCAAAATCTAATAATAAAAACGTCAATAAATAATGAGAATAATTATTATTAGTTATAATATTAATATTAACTATTTTTGTTACCTTTTTATCAGGTATGAAATTTCAAGAACGTCTTCGATAATTAAAAATTTCATTTAAAAGAACATACAAATAAACGATCTATTATTATTATTAATATACCGTTAGTGTAAGGAACGGTTGTGTCGAGCGAACTACTTTTTTAAATTGTTTTTGCGATATATCATCGTGAGTAATTTTTCAATAAATAAATTCGTAATAAGTTTAGTTTTAATTAAGTTATTTTTGTTAACTTCAATATATTTCCTTAACTATGGAAGGAAATAGGAACCTACTTACTTAAAATTTAACATAGGTGCTTATCTAAGTAGATACTCACATAATTTGATGGTGTAAGTACCTACTTAATTTTCTTTAGGGTATTGTTTTTGATTTTGTAGTAATAATTTTTATTGTTTTTGATTTCGTAGCTAAAAATTTTCTATAGGGTAATTATTTTAACGTGGGTTTGCGACTCATCGTATACTGAATACTTCTTAAATAAATAATTTGGTAATAGGTTTTGATTTTGTTTTTGCAAAAACGGAAATAATTATTCCTTTTGAGATACGCAGCCAAAGTGCGGGTCGGCTAGTTTTTAATAATTACAAAGAATTTAAACGTTTCGTAAGGCTGCAAAAGCAGGGGTCATAAGCTGGGTAACGTCACATGTCATGAGATTATCAGTAAAAAATGAAGACTAACATGATATATGTAAATTACTACTACGTACCATTCAATGTATTCATCATATCCGCTTTATGATCTGCTACTGGCAAAGAAGCATCACAGAACACTTCGTGAGCTATAAATTTATCTCCGCGAGGATTCACACCTCGCATAACAACGGTTTGTCCAGGAAATAAAGTATACTGCTTCACACTGTCGAAAAAAATACATTTTATTTAAATAATGCGATTATACTTATGTTTAGAACAATTGAAAAAAAATTTAAATTGATTTTCAACATTTTCAAAACTACGAGTCGATTGACTCATTGCTGCAAAAACTTTCCCAATTAGTTAATAGCTAAAGAATATACAAACTTGTCTAAATCTACAGGTACCGCTTGACTGAGTGATTGTTCCCACGTTCCTTGCAGTACAACACTCTTTGGGTTTAGTCGTGCGTCTGCGTCACACTCTATACGACCTGCAACTGATACTTCCGCCTGTAAGAATTTTTTTTGTATGTTATAGCTCCAACCACTAAATACAGTCCTTACCAAAAAAACCTTTACTCGGCGATAACCTTGGTGTGTATATCCCATTTTTACTAGGCACATCCCCAGATGTGACAAATATAAATTACAAATGGTTTGGAAATGTATATATTTAAATTTTAAACCTGGTGCTATGTATGGTTTATAACGCCGTGCGATTCACACACGCATACACGGTTTTCTCCCTTTGCAATTTACTCTAGAAATTGCCGAACTGATCCGAAAACATCGCAATCGCAAAGGGAAACAAGATTCTAGGGGATAAAATTTGTTATCATGTTGTAAGTAATTACAATTACAGTTTGTAATTACAAAGTGTACCTAACATTCACAAAAAGAAAGTAATCATTTGAAAGCAATGCATAGTACCTGTTTATCTAAATTGGGAAACCGCATTATTTGGACGGATGAGTTTCCATACAATGTACGTGAAATACGTCAGACGTATAAAGTACGTATAAGACTACCCTATAATTTCACGTCAACAAGTCACGCAATCACTAATAAACCTTATTTGCAATCATTCATTATGTAAGTGAGGAAAAAACGAATAACTAGTTTATAAAAAATAATCATACATGAATAGAAATAATTGAAGAACTAGTCTTTTGATGGGAAACATTTAATGTGGAGGGTCATACCGGCTGTAGGCGCGGTGACACTTCGCCGCGCTATATGATAGTACATATAACATGTAATGCCGTGTGGCGACGCGTCGCCATGCGCAATTGACTCTGCGACTCTCTCACGCCAGATTATACTTATATTTTTATACTTATAGTGTTTTTATACAAATTATGGTTTAGACAAATGACTAACTTGTCACGGGATTACAAAAGAATGACGTTCAAGGTGCAAAGGCATATTTCGCAAGTCCTCATAGGTAAATTTTACGCAAATAACTATGATCATTAAAAACCGGTTTATTCCCAGTAGTTGCATATAGCCAGTTCCAAGTGGAACTTTTGCAACCCAGTTCAATACCCATTCTAATATAATCGAGTATAAGATATATACGTAATAATAATAATAATATCTCTCACACACACACGGCCGTCTGATCCCAAAAAAGGCAGAGCCTGTACTATGGTAAGCAGACTGCTGATAAACATACTTATATTTATAAATAGATTAATTACACCCAGACCAAATGACCGTGCTCTTCACACAATATTTGTCCTGGGTGGGAATCGAACCCACGACCTCCGGTGTAGTGGTTAGTGACCTGACTGCTAAGTCAGGGTCACTAACCACTACACCGACAGGCTCGTCAAAATCAATATTTTAAATCTTCTACTAAAATAATAATTTGTAACAGTGGCTAAATTTTGTTATTTCTTTAAACGGCCTCAGTAATTCAGTTTATTCCCAGTAGTTCTATAAAGCCAGTTCCACGTGGAACTTTTGCAACCCACTAGTTCTATACATGAAACTAGTTGGAATAGCTATTTGAAGCGAAAAATTATACACAATAGTTCCATGAAGTACCACCACCAGTCACGTGGCTTGTTGAATTATAAGACATTATTTTCCTTGATTTCTTGTGATACGCAAAAAAAACATTTTCAGAAGAATAATTTAAATTATCTACATTAGCACCATGGCTTCATGGCACTACTGGGAATTAACTGATTTACTGAGGCCGTATTTGAAAAACATTTGAGATTGTAACCTTCAAGAAGTAATTGAATATTCGTTACATCATCATCACCGCTAGGCGTGACAATGAACGATTTGAGCATGTAAGTGATTGAGTGTATTACACTGATAGGTATAGTTTAGATGAGTATTAGAATCTTTGAGGTACTTCCATAAGTACTTTATTAAAATTGTTTTGCATCATTCCTGATCAATTGTAAATAGATAGTACCCAAATTTATTATTGTCTTTCTCGTTTTTGTCTCTCTTTGCGCCTGAAAAATCCCTCATTTCAACTTAGGACGCGCCTTAGAATCGAAAACTGCATTTGATTTTCTTCTTTGCGTATTTCAAGATACACATTGAAAATTTTGACATGTTGATTAAAATAACAATTTCTTTAAAAAGTTCACGGTATTACAATCACACATCTTCTAATAAGACTTCGAACCGTTCACTTAATGCGAAAACAACATAACGCTAAAATCATAATTTATCATCAAATTTGAAACTTTGAACCTTATGTATTTAATAAAAAAAACAATGTTTTCTAAACAAATATATGAAATTTTCTTTGCACCTACATAAATTAACTTTCAAATTAAAAAACATCTGATGACGAATAAAAAACTTTATGTAGTCCTCACTTTTCGGTATTGAAGAAAAATATAACCTAGCAGAGTTACCACCAAAAATAGTTACCACCTAAAGAGAGCCCGCAATAATTCATTCTTACAGCAAAAACTATCAACCGTTAAAGGATATTCTTTAAATTATGACTTTGTTGCTTAAAAGTGACAACAGAAAAGGATAAAATAAGACGAACATTTAAAATCTTATTTTGTGTAATTATAATAATTGCATTATAAATTCGTAGGAACATCTTTGATAAAATCAATAAAGGCTTTATAAGCAATAAATCAACTTAATACACACTAAAGTTCACATGCAAGTGAAGTAGAAATTCCTTATCAGCCTATCGCAGAACACTGCTCGACATAGACTTCTCCAATTGCTCGCCACTTGGTTCGATCCAGTTTGGTCTTACACTACGTTTACCGAGACGCGGTCTCCACTCAAGAACTTGTTTCCCCCAACGGCTGCCGGTTCTGCGGCTAATAAGGCCAGCCTATTGCTACTTCAGCTTGCTAGTCCTGTGGGCTATGTCGATGACTTTAGTTCTCTGCCGGATCACCTCATTCCTGATGCATTTCCCCATTCATAGCCCTTTTAAAAGCACGCTGAGCGACTTGGTGAACTTGTGGACCAGCCGTACCGTACGTAAGTGTCTACGTTTGGGCTCCGTGTTAGTAACAAGGAATGCAAACGTAGACACTGCTGTTTCCCAAGTTCAAAGTCGCTTTTCCGCATCAGGAATGAACACGGTGTTATGATGGGTAGGACGCACTGATTGAAGACTTTCGTCTTTAGGCACTGTGGGATCGACGATGCGAAGACTCGACGTAGCTTCCCAACTGCTGCCCAACCCCACTAAATTCTTCCATTCATGTCGTCCTCCCAGTTGTTTCTATTAAACTGCAAATGTCTGCCCAAAGTACACATGTTTTTTCAAAACTTCTAGAATGGCATCGTGTACCGCAATCGGCTCCGGTATTACATAGTCATTGATCTCGGTTTTGACAAGTTTATGCGTATAAAAACAATATTTATTTCAAAAACCGTACTTACCATTTGTTGCAATAATAACGTATTAATCCTAAATAGCATCAGCAAGCATCTGCTGAATACCTTCATGAGAGTCAAGGTACATTACGGCTACAACAAATGGACATATAGAACATGTCGTCAGATCATACAACATCCTAATATTCAAAGTTACAACTTAAGGTGCGAGTTAAACTAAAGGATTATAATAAATTTTAAATTTTTAGATACAAAACGTTAACTTAACTTATTTTTACGATTATAAATACCTGTGTTTTGTGTCTAACTGATGTGACATCTGTGATTCCAAACTTTTTTATAATAACCTGAGATATGTAGCGGATGTAGTTGTCAAATGTACTAGCTTTCTCGTGAAGCATCTCAAAGCCAAACCTAAAATAATACGTATAGATTTGATGAGCATTTTCATAGGTTCACTCACAAGTTGCTCAATCTTATAATCGTGATTACAAAATGCGACTTCTTCACTGGTCATATTATGTATTCTGTTAGAGAATGAAAACAAACTTATTTTGAAAACACCAATACAAACGACTTCTTTACCAGAACCTATACAAGATTTAACGGTAAGTTTAAAACAGTATATAAAACAAATACTGTTAAACAGGACATGGGCCTATTATAAAAACACTTCTAAAAAATACCAAATGTCTTACTTGAAAAATAAAATCACACACTGTTGCAATACTAGCATAATAATATTTAATACATAGTGTATGGCAGCGAAAAACTACACGAGATCTGTGGCGTTCATAGGGAGGGAGTCTATGAACGCCACAGATCTCGATCGATAATCGGTTAACGATGACTAGCATAACTAAAAACATAAGATCGGAAACCATAAGAATAACCTTAATAAGGCAGCGTGATACTACACCTAATCTCTCTTTATACCCAAAATACAAAAACAACCGACCTAAATGTATTGCCGGACCAGAGTTGTTAGAAAACGATACTATCCTTCTTATTAGACCCGATCTCATTTGAACCGAAACTTAAATTTCACTTACCTAATTACTCAAAACATATAACTAATTACAAGATAACGCTTAAATTACGAAAACGCTCATTTCTTCATTCATTCATCCAACGTTTCATTTCATTTTATTTATAAAAATAAGGTTTTGGCGACATTTTAATGAATTAGTGCTTTCCTAAAATTTTGATGAATCAGATACTATTTCTAAGAGCTAATAATATTGTCCGTGTGGTGACGGATTAAGAATACGGAATGTCACTACCCCAATTCATCCCGTGGGTGTTGTAAGAACCGACTAAGGGCGCAAAACAAAGCATGACACCAGCACTGCAAAAAGACGGAAAACTTGACACAAACCCTTTTTTTTTACGTGTGGAAATCCCCTCGGACCGTCACCCCACCGGGGTTTGCGGCGGGGTGGTGTGTCGGACTCGGACCGACTAAAACCACACGGTATGCCACTCTGCGCCTGTAATAGGAGGGATCCGGGAACAGCTGTTATTAAGACATCCGGACCCCTCCTAGCGCCGGCCCGCTCGTTGCGGGCTCTTTTCCTCTCTTTAGGCGACGTCCGGCACACGCGGACGCCGCCCCCTCGCGGCTGGCCAAACTAATGCGGGTGGAGGGGAAACCCACACCGTCCTCCCGCGGCCACACTCAGGGCGGCATGAGGCGGTGATGGGCGCGCCTCCGCCGCCCGGTTCGCCGGCGGCGGATCGGGTCCGAGTGGACTGCGAGATTACTTCCTCGCAGAAGGTTGCGACCGCGGTAAAACAACTGTCGCTACCGGCCATGGAGCGTACTACGGCCGGTAGCGAGAGATCCACTCCGATGACTGCAGTGAGGGTCCGGCGCTGCGTTGCCCATGCGGGGCAGACCGCCAGCGTGTGAACTTGACACAAACCTTATACCAACCCGCCTGGCCAGCGTGGTATAGTAGGCCAAAACCTTCTTTCTAAGGAGAGGCCTATGTCCAGCAGTGGACTATTAAAGGCTGTTGATGTGAATAATATATGCTAATGTTTTTTTTCTTCGTTTTAGCGTTATTTTTAAACCAACTACACTAACAGTTGCGTATTTGTTACAAATATTAAGTACCAGCTTAGTCATAGATAAGGTGTGACAAAGTCAAATACTTAACCAGACTATACAATAAACATGCGGCTGCGACTGCGCCTATTTTAACTTACATTGCTTTTGTATATGTGTCACCATCATCATTAGCAACTTGTTTAATTGTTAAATTTAAAATGTCGTTAGGGCTACAAGGTTCAGCAATCGTTTGTAGTAACTTCTCATCTCCATAGGAGTGGACTACCACTCCCGGATTATTCCTCGTTGCATACTTTCCAGATCCACTGAAACAAAATATTTTGACATTCAAAATTATAAAAGCGACATATTTAAACGTTAGCACCCATTCATGATGAATATTACATAATTACTGTGATATAGTCTGCATACAATGGCAACAGTGACTGAAAGTTAGCTTCATAATCAAATAAAAACAGGTGTTAACATAGTGGCTAAGTCAACTATGTTACAATGGTAATTCTCATCTTAGTAAGTTTAAATCAGAAGTAAGATCAAAGACCACACAGTGCTACTGAATTGTTGTTGCTTTCTACTTACTTTACTACATAGGAAAGGACTAACTTAACAATGTAACACACAAGTACGACAACGAGCGCTTATAAAAATAATGTACTTCAGAAGGAACAGACCTACTGAAAGACTATCAGATTAGTGGCCTGCTCTCTGTTAGAAAACTTTATATTATTAAAATCGTTTTAAAACAAACATAAGACACTTTCATATAATTCTGGTGTCATGCTGGGAAGGCGTAAAGATGTTACTGTGGAAGTACCAGTTACTAAAACGAAATTTTGCTAATAGAAAATACACTAAACGCGCTGCCAAACTATACGAGTATAAAGGAAAAAACAAAGAAATACATATATACAATAAAAATTGGAATTAATGTAAGAAACTTGTAACGGCCTGGCTAAAGCCACTGACCTATGAAGTTACTGAAACATACTTACAAGACATTAACTAACCCAAACCCACCAACACACACACGCACGCGCACGCGCGCACACACACACACAACACACACGCATACACAACACGTACACAGTTCATAGACACATATTAGTATAATTTACATTTAGTAATGGAAGAGAGGAGTGTCCTAACACAGGCATTGTTTGCTTAAAAGGAGGCTCTAATCACAAATTAATGCTAAAGGTGTTATTCTATCGAAAAAATACAGATATTTGATATTTGAAGTAGCAAAATCAGTGTTACAGATAATTTTTAAGTAGATTTTTTACCTTTGGGTAGGTCATGTTCTTACTGCCAAATGTATGTGTATAACATTTTATTATTGTACTGTCTATATGTTACAGTCAGAACTCTTAATCAATCAAAAGTAAATTTACCGGGTAACATCAGTCAAATGTACTTTTGAACGCAATATCATATTATACCTCATCTGACGCAAATGATTCAGTAATCATCAACAGCCTTTAACAGCCCACTGCTGGACATAGGCCTCTCCTTAGAAAGGAGGTTTTGTCCTACTATACGACGCTGGCCAGACGGGTTGGTATAGGGTTTGTTTCAAGTTTTCCTTCTCTTTGCAGTGTTGTTGTCCTGCGCAATTTGCTCCCTTAGTCGTCTCTTACGACACCCACGGGATGAACAGGGGTGGCGACACTCTGTATTCTTAATCAATCACAGTAAATAGTATCTAATGCAGTAATGAAAAGTAGGTACTCATTGCCCAATGCAGGATAAAAAAAATAGTTTTGACTGGTTAAGACTTCTGATTGTTCCATATAGAATATCCTAGTACCTATGCAAGCAAAGCAAATAGAGATCAAATTCAATCAAACAGGCATGTTTTTATGTGCATATCAAATATGTACTTACATAGTTGGTGAATATGTGGCAGGACATAAATCATTTTGCTGATTCTGTGGTAATTCATTTTCCACTTTAATTCTCTGCAAAATAATGTAAGTAAGATATTTTTCTAAATAGTTTATTCAGTATCAATCTATAAAAAATTGTAAAATTGACCAACATTCTTGTATATTGTCAACAACACCACTGAACCACACCACTAGGGATTGTTTTGGTAACAGCAACACCATAATGAAGTTCTAACACAAAACTTGTGCATTTATCGACATAAATTATTTTTCATTCGTAAGATCAAGAGTATGACTATTATAAAAAGGCCTTTTTAGAAGTCGCTTTAAAGATAGCAGATTAAGTCAAACACAAAGATACGATGTAAAAAAAAGATAGTTATTTTATTATATCTGATCAAGTTTATATAATAAATAATTTAGTTGTTTCTCTGAAAATTATAAGTTAGCTGTTTCTTGTTGTAATGAATACAATTAATATGTTTAATGGATCCCTTGTGAACTAAACCAATTCAAAATTAGCATTAAAAATTAACACAACTAATTGTTTCATTTCATCAATAGTTAGCAATGGTGTAATTACCAATAAAATTGTTTTAGAACCACAACCCAGTGGTATGGTTCAGTTGTCATTTACAATACACATACATTCTAAATAGGTTCTATGATAAAATTAAAAATATTTATAGAAAATTATGTGACATAATAACAACATTACTTAATTATAATGATTTACTAACTGTACAGTTAGTAAATCAACAGAAAATGAAAATTCATATTTATTTATACACTTAGTTGGTTCCATGATCCATGAAAACATGAGATTAGCCACAGACTTAAATCTTATTAATGCTATACAACAATAACATGACAAAACAATAAATATGAAGTATAATTATTGTGATCTCAATTACATGAAGTGATACAGGAATATCATATTCCTTAATCACTTCATCGAGTACAAAACTGATTAACTACAACACGTTTTTTCCTATCTACCCTCATTTCTTGTCCTATTTGTCAATGTATCAGATGATTAATTGGTAGGTGCTTTCATATTTTAGGAAACGTATTTATCTAACCACCTCCATTCTACAAGTTGCCAAGGGCCAATTTTAACAATTACCTTCAAAACATAATTACAAATGTAAGCAAAGTCAACACATGTTCTATGAATCAATATAAGAATACAATTTTTGCAATTATGACCATTGACCACCAAAACATTTTTAAATTTTTGCTGACTGGAAACTACCAATACACATCTACTTGTTGCATATCTTTATATCTTAATATATATATATTTTAGTTTAAAACATGAAAGGTTCAGACAGACATGCATCAGTGTATGAGTTGAACCTGGTTTCAAAATAAAAAGAATAATGACCAGACTGAGTTACATACACCAGGCTATAATTTAATATTTAGTACTTAAGTAATATTAACTAATTTTAATATAGAGTAATTTGAAAAGCCCTCATTCTAGATAAATAACTTAAAACTACACTACTGTTGTGTAAATAAAATGACACTGAATATTTGGTCTATTTAGTGCCATTTTACTAGAGATAGCAATGTGGCTTTGCAGATTAAGTTGATGGCTGCAGACGAGTATGGATCTAGTCATGATTTAATGTGAACATGAAACCAGAAGCAAACTCGCCCACAAATATCATCAAGTTAATTTATATAGTCATGACAGTACTATAAGATGTATACTAAAACCTTATATATGCATAAACATTCTTAAATTCTTCTATGTTGTCAGGCCCAAAAGCAGTCAATGAGTGTAGATCTAGTCACAGGATAAATTTACTGTGATACTAGACATATACCCATTAGCAGCAAATAGGTTGTTTGTTCATTCTTCACGAAATTGCAGTTTAAAATTTCTTGATTATGGAAGCTTGTCTTCTTTAGTAAGTAGAGATTCTTGAAACCTAAGCAGTGGGTCTATAATCTACAGAAGTTAAACATACTTAGCATTGTATTGTCTAAAGCCTTTTCTAAAATATAAAAGAACAAAATATAGAACTTTTCACAAAAAACTTTTTCATAAAGTTTGTCTTGTAGTTAATAATAAATAGAGACGAACAATATTTAAAATGACAAATTATAAATTATATCTATTAAAATTTAACAATAAATCTATATAACACTAACACACAAAGGAAATAACAAGAAACCAAATCATAATACCTTTGGTGTTGTTGCCATATAATTCGATAGAACTTCATTGTCTTCCGATCTGTATCTTAATTAAGGACTGAAACTTCTAAATTGATTTCGTAGCACGCTGCCATTAACAGAATTAAAAACATTCTATAATAAAGAGCTACATGACTACATAGAATAAATGTACTTAAAATTTGACACTAGCTAAAATACGAAAGTAAATAAAGAACACGTGGAGCATGCGCTTTAAAAGGATACTGAACTGACGCTGGTGCCCCGTAAACAGTCAAACTTCTACCGGCACCCACTTGTCCGTTTTCTTTACAAGGTACGTTAGAGAGAATAGCCGCCGGCTTGGAAAATTCCTTTCTTGCAAATGTGTCTAAGTTATCCAAATTCGGAGCTGAACCGTTTAAGTTATTTAAAGTGAAGGCCATCCATTGTTCAATAAAAGATTCAGCATCGATGTTGTATTCTTCACATAAACTTACACCTTTGAAAAAAGAAGTGAATAATGGAACAACCTTGAACATTCATTTTGTAGCGGTATAACTTGGACCGTAAGTTGTTATCAAGTTTGAAGAACTTTAAGACTTCTAGCTTTCAAACATAACGCGAATTAATTATGTTACTCACATTTATTAATAACTTCTTTAGGTACTTCTATACCGAAAAATTGAAATTGCTCAGTCACCAATTCTTCGGAAGCCATTTTCTGTAAATTGAAAGAGCGAATGAAAGGAAAGGAAGCAAAAGAGCGCCAACGCCAATCAAAAAGTTTGCGTGTGTTTCGTCCAATGACCAATGTTGCCATAACTTTTGTTTTCCCTAAAAATAATTAAAAAGTCCCAAAATCAAACAAATCACTTTTCATCGCATTAGTTCGAATAAAAGTTGAACAAAACGGTAATTCTTTCAATTTAAATATTTGGAAGACTTAAATACTACATGCAGTGACTCCATGATTGCGTTCACCAGAACAGCCCGCTGGTTAAGACAAATGTTTTTACTTTTTTACAAACACAAAACACACTAAACTTTTTTACAAATTCTTACTTAAAATATTAAAATAATTGTCATAACAATTAACACATGATAATAGATAGCGATAATAAGTATTATTCTCAGCTGAATCGTAATTCGCAGTAGACTTAATGACATCCCCAATCTAGTTTGGGAAAAAGGATGGGAGGAAGAAAGAAGTGATATTAATGTTGCAAGCCTGCACCTATTAGTGTTGTTACATGAGGCATACAATTTGTCATTTATATTGATAATAATTATTCTAGGAAAGAAAGCCAAAAAATCAAAGTACTAAACACCTTACCTTGAAACTTGCAAAATTAATATATGAGAAAATATAATATTAAGTTTTGCAACATTTAAGTCTGGTGCCATAAATGATTAAATCGCGAGTTGAATGGCGACCTAAATTGTCAAATAAATAAATAATAATTCAAATAAGTAAATTAAGTCAGTTTAAATATTTTACTGCCAAATTTATGATTGTTAACTTTCAACTGGCAACACTACCATAGATTAAAGACTTTCGACGACAATGTACTGAGTTACTGACCAATCACAAACGCGTTACAATAAACAAAGAGCAGGTAGGTACATTTTCGTATTTTAATAAGTCTGTTTCAATCAAAATGAAAACAAGTTCTTACTTTATTATTATTCTTCGTTAGTCACAGATTTGTGCTGAAAAGGAATCACTGCTATTATTAGAACTTTAATTGACACATTAAACTAGGTCTATACGTATTATAAATACAAATAATAATAATTAAAGAAATAATTCGTTCAGTCATCCCAACCTGGCCAACTGATGTTCCAGCCCAAGGAGCTCGCTCGTTGTCCCAGCCCTACCGGCGATCTAATCACAGGACGGACATACGGGTACTCAACCTCTTCGGGCTACTGCAGTCTGTCGTGACTTGCCGTATCCCCTTACCAGAACTCTCGCCTCTGTTTTTCGAAACTAAATTTACCTTATAATTCCTTTGGCTTGGTCTGAAAACGATTATATTTTCAAGGAGGTTTGGCGGCAAGCTGATGGTCGGTCATAAAAGAAACCAGGCAGAACTATTTACAACGTTACTCATTGCGCCGACTCCAAATACTTAGTATTGGGAAAAAATCATTACAATGATTATCTGTTTGCTATCAAAAATTTGCGTTATCAACTTTCACGAAGCTTACAACACGTTCCGCCATATCTTTGATGAGGTATCAAAAAAAATATAATTAACAGGAGTTTTTCAATAAAGAAAAAATCCCTTTGCATCAGTGACGGGCAGAAGTGTATCAAGCATCCACATTTTTAGTCAAGTATAATTCTGCCCCACTCACTATGGATAGTCTGCAAATTCGAGGAAGCCCATGCCCTAAGACTAGGCAATAAAAGCAAAGGAATATTGAATATGTAATCGGACGGAGTGGAAGCCGTAAGCCAGCTCGGGGTCGCAACTGTTGTTGAAATGTCTCAGCCCATTAAATTTAATACATGGAATTGATCTGTAGAACAGATTCATAAGATAATTATCCTGTCTGCTGTCCTGCATAGATTTCAATATTGGTGGAAGTGATGGGAGACGCCATTCTGAGATGGATTTACATTATTTTATTCATTTTGATTTATTTTTTAAAAACATTTAGTCTGTTCTGATACGCACATTAAATCACAATCATTTTGCGTTTAACTAACGACCGGTACCAGGAAAACGCTTCGTAATCACACCGCAATCCTGTTACCTTATTTTTGCGATACCTCGATTTTTACTTATACGATGTATTTATTAGATCAGCCGTGTATCATTTAGGATAAGTGTGTATGTGTTTGTAGGAGTATATTCACTTATAGTATATATCATGGACTATCTTATAAAAGTACGTCAAGGCGTCTTCTGAAGTACTAGTACTGTACAAAGTATCCCATTTTAAACAAACTAAACCTCTCAATGACCTTTACTTTTATTTTCAATATATGTATAGTTAGATACTACCCCATTTCTGGTACCTGCAGTCTATTCCAATTCGATCCTAAATTCACTTTAATATAGGAGACTTTTAGAGGAGTTAGACGTCAATGCCTACTAGAGGCTCATATAACGACGTTCTAACCTCTACATCACACGCCATTAATGTAGGTAGTCGTCAAAATTAAGGTACGGTTGTTAATATTACATATCTTATTTACCTGCCGAAATCCACAGAACACCAAAAAATATTGCAAATAACATCGCAATTCTACTGTTGCTGACGGTGTGTTAAAATCACCACTACGACAACAGAGTTGTACTTAGTACATACATTTTCTAATATTTAAATTAATTTCATGTATTCATTTTAGTTAGAACCAGGTGTAATATACACTACGCAACATAAGAACAAGAAGTTATTTTTACAACTGACCATCATCTGCCTACCCTTTTCCCAATTTTATTTGGGATTGGCGCAGTATGTCAACTGACCGTCGCACAAATTATTTCAAATAAGGCCGAGTCTACATTGTCAATTCTCACCAAGTTAATATCGTACCGACAAGACACCGCTACAAAACACCTCTTTGCTTCCTGCCGTCCATCCTAATTAACTGATATCCAAGAGGAATAAGTTCACCATCTTTATAGAACTATTTAGCCTAGATTTCGTAAGTGCAAATACGTCGTAAATGGCCAGTAAATATGATGTAGGGGCTAAAAAGTTGGTAAAAAATGGTCCTGTCTTTGTTCTTTTTCTTTCTCGGACATTTTAATAATATAAACAAACGGATTTAATGACTTTCCTTATTTCTCTTGTGGGGTTCTCCTCTGAGTTCCAAAACCACACCCATTCGTTAAATTTCGTATTAACGAATTCTGATTCTGATACTCCCACCATGAATGATGCGTAATCCCACTTAGTCTTAGGAATAATCTTTTCCACCTTAATATCATCAGAGATACAAATGGTTTTAAAATGCTCCTTCATTGATTCGCCTGAGGCATCTGGATGCAGAGACCAGACGTGCATGTACTGTTTGTTCTACCGCTCGAAATGTTGAAATCTGCGGATTTTCACCGTTTAGCGTTATCTTAGAAGGTAATTTGTTTTTTCTTCTTGCTACTTACAACCTTCCGTGTTAATAATAGGTCTTTACCTATGAAATTGCCGTTTTGTATGCAATAAGTGAAAGTACTTATTTTTTCAAACTTTTTTATTTCTGTTATTCGAAGTAATCACCCATGCAATCGACGCATCTTTGCCAACGCATTGGCAGTTTATTGATGCCCTTCTTGTAAAAATCAGCTGGACGGGAGGCAACAAACTCTTCAAAGGCATTTTGTACTGCCTCTCGGGAATTGAATTTTTTACCCACTACAAAGTTGTCTAAATTTTGGAAAAAGTAATAGTCGGTAGGTGCAAGGTCTGGTCTGATTCCGCCAATTTATCAATTCTTGTAGCTAATTCTCCAACTACCTTCACTAGGTTATTTATGATGGTAGAAACGGACTTAAAAACACCCAAACTCGGAACAACAATTTATGTATTACACATAGTTTTGTCCCATGCGGGACACCACATAGAGTAGGTACGGACCCCACCGCTACACGCCGTAGACGGCCATCTACGGCTTGTAGATGTCCCCTCGTGTGTGTTGGAACCACGATGCTCCATTTCAACTCCCTAAAGGGAGCGCACCCTCCGCAGCGCTTCGCGCCCCCATCCCGGCCTGCTTCTGCTGCGGTGACAGATGGCTTCACCTGTTCGACGCGCTCTCGCTCCGTACCATGGTTGCAATCATGGTACCGAGCGAGAGAATTTCCACTGCGATAGCCGTCTCGAGATCACGCCTCTGCTCCACCCACGCCGGACATTCTACCAGCGACAGCGTGTGGAACTCCGTGTCCATGGTCTGGCCAGGGGAGTGGTGGCACTCAGGCGATGATCTCCGAAGCATCCCTTCCTACAATGGGTCTTAACGCCGCAATAACGGCGTGCTCGTACTACCACCCTGGTACTTATTTAGTGTCATCTGCACTTTCATAATCATAGTGAAGAGGTCGATTCTCATTCCATACTGGACATTATCAATAGAAATTAACATAAAACATTATTTGAAACTCGTCCATTTCTTTAATGGGAAAGTCACGTCACTTTTAAACCAATATAAAAAGGTGTTAAAATTTCTTCACAAAATGGAATAATCCTGGAAGTTGCCTGGAAGAGATTGCTCATAGCAATAAGGCCGCCCTTTGTACATTGTATATAACACTTTCATGTAACTATCATGCTTCTTGTAAAATGGTGTACAAATAAAGAGTTCTATCTATCTATCTATCTATCTATCTAATCAACAAGAACTTAACCAATTACAGAAAAATAAAAAACGAATTTTGAATTACTATTTCAGTTTTACTCTCAATATGATTTTTAATTAAAATAATTGACTACTTTTTATACATAAAAATGTTTTATGTACATAAAATATATATTTGTTAATTATTACCAGTTTAACAAACTCTTATTGATATTTTAAAGTGGAACTAAATAAGTGCCATTGACTACCAGCCACCAGATCGAGTGGCACATATAGCGTACTGGTTTAACCAGTCACCTCACCGCTTCCTGCAATGCTGAGTGTTGTGGCCTTGATCCAATGGGACAACACTTTGTGATCCACAAATTGTTGTTCACAAGTCAGGTGTTGTTTGTGTCTGTTTCATGAATGCCTGTAAAGTCCCCCGCGATACAGGGTAATTTATATCCTTTGGGTACTTTAAAAAAATAAAATTGTCACATTATAATAACAATAACATATTTTAAATAAACAGGTATAATTTTCTTAACTGAACAGGATAAAAATGATATTAAGCATTCCTTAAATATTCTAAATTGCTGTAACAGGAACCCTTGGAACTAGTTAGCAACTTTCATTATGATAGTGGACTGTCAAGTCTTAATTGTTACTCTTTACAACATGTCAAAAAACTTGACATCAGAATTAACTACGATCATATCAATTTCTTTTAATATTTGTGTTCAACATGAAAATAATTTGAAAACAATTTTTAATTCTCATTTAGTTCTCATGACATATGAGGAATAACTTATTTTTAATAACCAACAAACTGGGTAGTTCGATTTTATCTGTGTGGCTTCTTATCAAACAGCAACCATAAAGGTAAGATTATAATTTTCTTAGGAGACGTAGATCTCCAAAGATACGAATTGAAAAAAAATTGGTTAATTTATTATAGATATTGTTATGTCCTTTGAACATGTATATGAAATTTACATGACGGCATGGATTGCACCTCAGCTGTAACAACACTATTAATGCATAGGTTTGCTAGGCCTCCCCTTATTAGGCCACAGGTATAAGCAACATACTGAAAGAAAAAATTATATTGTAGTATGAAAAATATATTGTGTCTAAAAAATTCAGTAAGAAACTAAAGAGTGAAATACACTTACTCTGGGTGCAAATTCTAAATACTGATGTCCATTTGAGAAGTTAGTAAGAAATCGGAATGCATTATCTTGTAGAACATAAACACCTTGATGGTTTGTGCGCAAATTATCAATTTGTTTCTTGTAGATACAAGTCCAAAAGTCAGTACAAATGAATTTCATGGTGTCTAATTCATCCTTAAATCTAGGCCACTCTCTAGTTAATCTTTCCATTATCTTGTAACCAGCCGCAAATCCGATATATTCCACTACAGATAGATCCACCTCCTACAACAGATAATTTCTGAATTTTTGAAATTTTCTAGCTTTACTTCTTTCCCCAAACTAAACGAAAGATATAAAACAAAGATTATTTTAATATTTTAAATAATTATACCTTCTTTTCATTATCATTATCCTTTGTTTGCTCTAAAGCATAGTTAATTATTTCTGAATGAAGTAATTCGAAGACAATATCATCAGCCATTATAAGATGTATTTTCATCCACTGACTCGGAAACGGATAGAATAATAACCGTTGAAGATAATACTAAAAATTGTATAATTAATTTTTATTATTTACTGTTTCAATAAAAACGTCCCCGGAGACAGTTTTTTGACATTTAGGAAATTTGACAAATCCAATTAGAGCTGTTCATATTTTGTCGAATCCAGTGGCTATAATAATAGTTTAGATATTTCAAAATTGTCCTAACATGAAAAGCACTACTACAGGTATACACTGCTGATTACTTAAAAGTAAATTACTTATTTCTAATCAGTTTGATTTCCAATCTTATTTACCATTAAATCCAAAAAAAATTAACACTTCAGGCAAAAAATAATTAAGTATTACATTAAGAAGTAAAAAAATTAAATAGATGTAAAAAATAGTGGTCTGCTTGCAAAGAACAGCATGAGTGTACTTTTAAGCCTTTGTAAACGTCGACGTCGATTAGCTGATTCTTCCTTTCTTTTGAAAATTAGCCTTTTGCAAAAGTTAAAGTTTAATGTCCCCCATAGGTCGACTAGATTAAATCCGCATTTCTATTCAATTTTCTTCCTCTAACTATAAAAAAAACTCCTATAGGTATTGTTCGAGCGCGCAGCAATTTCAATAAATTGTGCAAGGAGTACTCTTTTGATACCTTTAATACCAAAAGCAATATTGTGCGCAGTATGCTAAACCTTAAATTTTCCCGATCGTAACATTTTTAGATTAATAATTATTTTATTGTATTGGTGTAGTGTCGTGTTAGTTAGTGTTCTAGAACCTCTGTTAAATTCATCATCATCATCATCATCAACCGCCCTTAACAGTCCACTACTGAACATAGGGAAAGATTTAGGATTGGATGTCGTAAAAATCTTAATCTGATAGTACCATATAACTATTAAAATTACTTGTTACATATTTTACAGAAACCTTCACTTTTCTTAATAATCTTGTCAATAACCTTCTCCTTCTTTGTCCTTTATATATTTCCAGTATGGTCCATTATTTCTACACTGTTTAAACTGTTAATGTCATAGCTCATTAGATCCACCCGACACCCGACCAGTACAACCTCGTCGCTCGGTGTCCACTCGTTATCGATAGGTGGTCTATGGGTGGACGCTGCGTTGTTAACCAGTGAACGTATGGTGGTCCACGAGTGGACGCCGCATTGTTAACCAGTAAATATCCCGTGGTTAATGAGAGGACATTGCGTTTTCTGCTAACAGATAAGTAGTAGGGTTTTCGCGTACCCGACCTTTTTTAATACCCGGATATCGGGTATTATTTTTTCACATACACGGTATTAGCAGTTTATGCAGAAAAACAGTCAATGTTCTTATCCGATTACGATAGAGTGAAGTATGGCAATGAGTCTCCTTAACCTATAGTACAGTTAATCACACAGTTAAAGTTTTAGTTTTAAAATAAAAAAATAATAAAAAATTGAACTTTTAATCACAAAATCTTTTTGTTATGTTATAAATTTAAAAAAATTAACTTAATAACCTTTCTTCTAAGAATAAACATTTTTAAAATAAATTAACATAAACGTCATAGTTCAAATAAAAAAAATAAAAGAAAGGACACTTTCTTTTATGCCTAAAAGTCAATACCCAAACAGAATATACAACAAACAAAAAATTTGAAAACATCTAAACTCTAAAATTGACTCTACAAAAACTCTACATAAGTCCCTACAAAACTCCAAAATTGACTCTACTAAACTCCAAAATCGACTCTACAAAAACTTATTATAGGTACGGGGTTCTTTTTCTTCTTGACAGAATAGGGCTTACAAGAACAGTTTTGCGTGCAATGAGCAGCCCGAAAGCCGGTTTCTGCTTTTTATTTAGAAACCCTAAAAAGTAGTTTGTCAATATCGTCACTCGCCGATGCATCGTCCTACACCCAAACAAATATTTTTTTAAGTTTTTTCTTTTGTAGCATACTATTTAGTCGTATCTTTTTGTCTGGAAACCACCGAACCTCACGATGAAGTGGCATGTCGGAATCAAACCGACTAAAACCACATAGTGTGCCTTCACATGTAAGTCTTTTGCAGTTGATTAGGGTATACCCTAGGAAGAAAGTGCCCGAGAACCCCGACAGACCTTGGTTTAGGTAGCCACACCATATAGTATAGAGGGCCTTGCCCTCCTTCTGCTTTACAGAAGTGAGCGCGCGCTACCACCTCAGGCCTGCTCTTGCTAGGGTAACGGGCAGCTTCACCTCTACCCCCTGTTATGAGAGAGCACTGGCCCTCTCCAAAACAACAAATATACACCTGCCACACAGAGCTTTGCAACACTCAAAGATTTGTCTGAAATGAAATACCCGTGGCATTAAGTGCGCCTTAGACAGTATCATATATTTACAGGAAGTTTCAATAAATAAATACTGCAATAAAATTTAATTTGAAGAAAATAAAATTTCATAAAATAAATTCGCTCAACATCCACCAGAAGCTAACACATACGAATATTTAGCTTTACCTATATGTATATTTAGTTTTACTAAATAGTAATCAATATCATCAACATCATCATCAGCCTATCGCAGTCCACTGCTGGACATAGGCCTCTCCCATTGCACGCCACTTAGATCGATTTTGTAATAAATATATGTACGGTGTATTTCCTAATAATATAAAAACTAGGAAAACATAACTGAATATACTTCAAACAAACAATGAGTTTGTGGTTTTCGCTGGAGTACAGGATATATGTCCATTTGTCATATATTATGCGTTCAAAAAGATTATTTACATTACCTAGGTATCGTCTTATGTATATAATATTATTTCTCAGCACTTGCACTTAATACATGCAGCAACGCGCAGGCAACCCCGATGTACTGCGTCATTAAAATTATAGGTCAAGTAAATAAAAAAGATGGCGGATTGTGTCTTCCATGTTGTATTGCTCCGTGGTAGTGCGTTTACCTTTTATGAACTATAATAAGTTTTTCAAGACTCCAGTGTAGTGAGAATTTTAATCAAAGCAAAGTGTGAAGTGCTTTCTGCAAAGCGATATTTTTTTGTCTATTCGTATTTTATAACATTACAAATGGAAGAAAATACTATTACCACAAATAAAGATGGCGATGCTAGGCGACCTGCCCAAGCAGAGGCGCCATCTGCAGTTGATCTGTCGAACATCAAATTGAACGGAAATGTAAGAAAGAAGAGACGGCGCGGGAAATCTAAACGAAAATTGTTAAAACCTTTTGCAAAAAATTCGTGGCTAGAAAGAAGGAATGAAAAGTCTAACAGGAACAACAGGTTCAGAAAGCTAGTATTGGCAAAAACTCATGCTCCTTTTAATAACAACCAATTTTTAATGGAAATACATAAACCAGAACCCGAAAATGCTTTTCATAGTTTACAGACTCCATCAGCACGTACCCGGGATTCTAGTTTCAGTGTAGATTCAGAAGACAATTATTTCTATTCTCTACCCGAAGATGAAGAGGAATACTTGACCAAAGAGTTCTCAAGCGTTTACGAAGATGCGCAAAGTGAACGTTTATCTAGTATGTCTAAAGACGATCTAATCCAAGAGTATTTGTTATTGGAAGCAAAATATGATAATCTATTAAAAAGAACGGAACGTTCTAAAGGCAAGTGTGTAGAAGATGACAAAGAAACAGTGACTGATAAAGATGCATCTGTTACTGATAGAGACAGCATGATAACAGACAAGGATACTTCACTAACTTCGTTAGGCTCCAGTGCAGTTGATGAAAACTCTTTCAGTGAGTTAATGCAGAAAATGAAAGAACAAGAAGACCAAATACATTCTCTGCAATTGGACAATGAGAAATTGAGGGTTGAAAATGAACATTTGCGTCAAAGGTCTCAGACCTCTTCAAGTGCAGACTCTGAAAGTGATAGCTCTTCTTCATCTGACAGTGATAGCAGTTCTAATCCAAATAATAGTCCCATACATGAGCCTGTTGTTGAAAATAATTCTGTATCAAATGAGAATCATATTCACATTAATGGCCAAAATGAAGAGACTGATGGTTTAGAAGTGACTTATCCAATTGTTAATGGTACTCATGATTAAGAAGTTAATAAATATCTTTATTATATGTTTATATCTATAAGATGTAATTAAGTATTCTGTATCTTTAATTAGGAACATGTTATAGTGATTGTATTAAAGTTTGACAAACTGCATTTATTTCTTGGCTTCGAAATGGTCACAATTCTACACACTCTGAATGATTCTCTATTGTGCAGGGAACTTTGATGTGTGATATAATAGTGTTTAATTTCCTCTGATATTCCTTTGGATATTATTTCAGTTGCAATTCATTAATTACATTGATTTCTTTCCAAATAGATCTCAAGTTTGTTTTACATATGTTAGTTTGATATAAAATAATATATTCTATATTAGATTTAAGAAAAGCTGTTGTAATTCAAGATCATTTATTTTCATTAATTATGACCTATCTTTTTCATTGGTTTGCTGTTAAACTTTTTTTAAGCTTAAACCCAAATTTAATATATAAAGTGCTTTGAAATTGTAATATTATTTATAAAATAGTGTCATATTTTAACAGTGATTGTATTAATTTGTTGCACGATTAAATGCAGTAGAATATCAAGTCTTGTAAAAATTAAATATTTTATTTCTTTAGAAACAATGAAAGAACATTGTAAGGCTCCATTAAATTATTTATTTCTTAAATTAATTATATACATACGAAACTTAATACAAATGTGACAAAAATATTCATACAAATAGGCATAGGTAGAATTTCTCGACTTAAATCACTTGTTTCATCATCATCTAAGCTGAGAGACGTACACTGCTAGACAGGCCTCCCCCAAGGCTCTCCCCAACAATCGGCCTTGTGCTGCTTGCATTAGATATGGAAATTATTGCTAGGTACCTTTAAATCACATTCACATGATAAAATCATTGGTTTTAGTCAACCATTTCACATGTGATTGTGATTTCGTCATAAAGATAAATGCCATTAAAATCAATCAAAATTCTTTATATCTGAGATACGACTTTTTTTTTCTTTGATTCAGACCTTTCGCGAGCCTTGCGCAAGCAACATAAAAATAAGTCGCTGTGGTTTTGCAAACTAGTCACGGCTGTGATAATATGATTCATAAATCATATGATTTATCTTAGATGATAGTGACTTTACGTAGTACTGATGTGCTAGATGTCCATGTTCACTGGATATAAAGGTTGTGTATTACCTACATATATTTTATTACAAATATGAAACCGTCATACACCGCTAAAATTAAATGTTGAAGTGAAGAGCAGTCGCTAGATGACGCTGTCTGGCAAGACCTATTGAAGTGAGTTCGGTATTATTTTATAAAACCCGTTTAAAAAAAAAGTTGAACCGACTTCTAACAACACCGACAAAGAGCACTAAAAATTAAAAAATTATTTCAAATCTAAGTAAAAAACTATAATAAGTACCCTCAATGTAACAGGTAACATTATAATACCAATAGTCCCTTCTAGTCTGTTTGAAGTCGGTGCCAAGCCAAATAGGTGCTCGATAGGCATGGTAGAATGTAGCGCGGCAGCTGCAACAGTCTTCATGCTGCGCAAAACATGTTGAACGAGCTAAAGTGGACGCACATCTCCAATTATATTACATTGACATAAATACTGCAAGTTCTCTGCGCATCATATCGCGCAGTCTCTGATGGTTGCCATGGTTTGTTTGGCTAAAGAAATACTCGTAGCTAAAACACGTTGTCGGGGCTGTCAAATTCCCAATAATTGTGACGGTTTCCCTCGATTTCTCTAGGATCCCATCATCAGATCCTGAATTGGTGGTAATGGGACCAATTCGGGAGCATACCCTTTCGATTACAAAAAGAATTTTGAAAATCCGTCCACAATTGACGGAGAAATCGCGGACCAAACATACATAAAAAAAAAATACAGACGAATTGAGAACCTCCTCAGTTGTGTTTTGGAAGTCGGTTAAAAATTATAATTACTTTTTTATTATAAAGTTATTAATATTATTTGTTAACAGGTATCTAAAGAACGCAGATCGAACCCTAAATATTCGTGACACGTTGACTAAACCAATAACTGGAGAAAACGCGCAGTGCATATCGAAACATTTTGTGTTATAATATAATATAATAGTTTGTATTATCATCATCACATCAACAGCCTATACTAGTCCACTGCTGGACATAGGCCTCTCCTTAGAAAGGAGGTTTGTATTATATGTTTGTATTATACTAGCCTTCAATAGCAAAACACAAAAGATCACATGTAAATATCGACAACTTATTAAACATTACTATTATGTGTGTCTTCGCGACACACATAATAGTAATGTGACGCCGGTGACATATGGGGCATTGTTAGTTGTAGTGTTGAGATTTAAGGGTAGAAAAAAAATATATCAATACTGCTCGAGAAATTAGTATATCTGCAATAAGGCGATTATCACACTGCACCCCGCTCGGTCGCGTAGCGCGGGGCAGCAGATTTTAATACTGTGAGCAAGTATATCAATTTGTATAGAAAACACACTGACAACAGGTCGGCGCACGTACGTTAGCTGCGCCCCGCTATACGCGACGGAGCGCGGTGCAGTGTGATAATCGCTTTAGTGTTTTGCTAGCCGATAATTTTGCGTTCCACCTCTTTATTCAATTTTATAACTATGAATAATGTATGTAAGAATCACATATGAATCTGAATCGGATAGTGACTATCATGAAAAAAGAAGAGAAAAACGGCTAAATTGAGAATAAACTTTTTTTTTTTTTTTTTTTTTTTTTTTTTTTCAATCTTTATTTACGGAGTTTTATCCAACAGGATAATGCCACTCCATTGGGCCAATTCACTAACATATTTTACATAGTTTCTAATCTAAATAATATATAAGTCTACATAAGGTTATCAACATAGGATCGTCTTCGCAAACCTATGTTAACAATTTGATATAGTAGTGTGGCTGCTGTAGATAGCGGATATGATAGAATACAATTGCATCTGCCTACTTCTCTTAAATTGGTAATATCGTGTAACATTACACTATACCTAATGTCCTCGTTCCGAACACATTCCAGCACAATATGTAAAACATCTTCCACAATTCCACACTCTGTACATAGAGGAGACCGAACTTTATTCATTAGAAATGCAAACTTATTAAGTGGAATATGCCCAGATCGAAGTCTAAAAGCCGTGGTTAAGACATCACGTCCCAATGTACAATTACCGAACCATGGTTTATCCCAAGGTTCACTTTGAAGTGTCCTATACCATATCCCCTTATCAACAGATCTCTTATCGAAGTGTACCTTCCACAACTCATGACAATAAACTTTAATTAAATAAATGCAATCAGAGAATACTGGTAAAACATGTAAAGGTTCGCCATCGCTTGAAGCTTCTTTCGCTATTCTGTCGACTGTTTCATTTCCCACCAAGCCAATATGAGAAGGGATCCATTGCAAGATGACTTCTTTAGAGTTAGATTTTAATTCCAATAATAATTTAAGGATTTTGTAGGCGATCGGTGACCCTCTTAAAGAAGAGGTAATACGAGCCACATGTTGTAGGGAACTCTTTGAGTCAGTCAAAATTACAAAGTTTTTGTAGTCTATGGATTTAATATACACTAATGCCTGCAATATAGCAATTAGTTCAATGTACATAATGGAAATATTATTACCGATTTTGAATTTACACGATAGTTCAGACTGTGGGTCGAAAAATGCCGCTCCCATAATATGCTCGCTTGAACCCGCCCTTGAACCGTCAGTAAATATCTTGTAATGTGAGTTATACTGACTGTCCAAAAACAAGGAGCACTTACGACGTAGCGATGTAGGATCGTATTCTCTTTTGGTTTGTATTCCTTCGATTTTATGATTTATAATGCCATTCACATCATACCAGCTCATCCAACAATCCAGCGTATACATGCCCAATTGTTCCTCGGAATGAACGTTAACATCCTTAAATTTAGAGTAAATTTGAATTAAAACTGGAATTTTCTTTCTACGGCGCCAATATCTTAGATTAATATGGCCATTCAGTTCGCAAATAACATTTACAGTAGGGTTATTAGAAATAGACATAGACCGAAACCACGCCTTGCCAGCTAAATAAATACGGCGAACATGTAAAGGCTGTAAGCAAAGCTCGCTCTCCATCACATGGATAGGAGTGCTTTTCACAAAACCACCTATTATTCGCATAGCTTGATTCTGAAGCTTATCTAATTTAAGTAATTTGGAATGACAGCTAATATCATAAAGGTAACTACCATAATCTAAACGGCTTCTAACAATGGATATGTATAATCGTCTAAGATGTTTAGGATGAACGCCCCATCCAGAACCAGCTAGCACTTTGAAGACATTAAGTAGTTTATGGGTTTTCTCGTATAAAACATTGATGTGTTTGGACCATCTCAAGGAGGAGTCCAGCCACATCCCTAAATATTTTACACTACTAACATCTTGCAGTGGTGAACTGTGAATTGAAATGGAAACAGTTTTTCTATTAATCCCTCTTTTAAAAATGCACATTTTACTTTTTGTAGAAGATACACTTAATCCTAAGTTTTCTAAATAAACAACTAATTTATTTATGGCTACTTGAAGTATTTTACTTGCATCTTCTAAGCTTTTATTGGATATGTACAGGACGAAGTCGTCAGCGTATTGTGACATATATACTTCACCTATGGTATTAAATATGGAGTAGGTGGCAATGTTGAAAAGCAATGGCGATAGTGGGTCACCTTGAGCAAGACCTAGGCCTGTACATCGTGCTATAAAACCATGGTTGTTTTTAATTTTTAAAGTCCTAAAACTAAGAAAGTGCCATAAATAATTACAAACTTGTGATCCAACACCTGCCTTATCCAATATATCCAAGAGTGAAACTATATTTATATTATTGTACGCGTTATCAATATCAATAAAACACGCCAAAGTGGTAAGATCTCTTGAGAATCCCGTCTGGATCCTTGTTACAAGTCTAATTAAACTATCTAAGCATGATTTAGATTTTCTAAAGCCTACGGTTTCTTTCGAAAACACCCCTTTATTTTCAAAGTACCACTCTAGTCTTCTGTTAATTATTGTATGAAATGTTTTACAAACGCAAGACATTAAACTAATTGGACGCATAGATGAAATCAGAGAGGGGTCGCGGTCAGGTTTTGGAATTGGAACTACGCAAATATCTCGCCATTGCAATGGTGTGAAACCTGAAGTTAAATACTCATTAAAAAGTTTTAGCAAAATACACTTTGCGTTTTTAGGTAAGTTTTTTATCATAGAAAAATAAATATTATCACAACCCGGGGCTGTATCGCTAGTCTTAATGCCAGACTCTAATTCATTTAAAGTTATAGGGGATTCTATTTTAGGGTTACGCGAAGTAAATATAGGCTTGTCAGGCAATACATAAGCAGGACATAAATTGCCTAACAAAAGCTCGATTCTAGAACTATCTACATGTGTATTAGCGGTTTTGTTTCCTTTAAGCCATTTCATCTTCCTCCACATTTCGCTAGCTGACGAAACTGATTCTAAAGAGTTACAGAATTTGCACCAGCTATCTGATGATGCCTTCCTTATTAGTATACGTGAGTCTCTAATGCACTTATTAAGCGTTGTCAGATTCGCCGGAGTAGGATTTTTCCTAAACTGTGATAAGGCTAATCTGCGTTTGGCAACAGACTGCGACAGGTTAGAATTCCAGAATGGCTTAGGGGAAAATTTACTAGTTGGGTTTAAATTGACTTTTACGTATGGAATAAACTTGTCTGCAGCTACATTTATATTATCAATAACATTATTATATAGCTGTTGAGGCTCGTTAACTAGATTAAAATTAGAAAACGTACTCTCAAGGAAATTTTTATAGCTCTGCCAGTCAGCTAATTTTAAGTTACGTTTTCTCAAACTATTAGGGATAAAAGTAATCGAAGTGGAGAGAGTGATTACAAGATGATCACTACCTAGAGATTCATTAGTAACTTCCCAGTTAAAAAAACATGAGATATCAGAAGTAGCAAACGAAACATCCGGCGAACTGCATTGTAAGATTCCCGAGACTAGCTTAATGCGTGTGTGGCTGTTATCATTTAAGGAAACAAAATTACTATTAGCTAACGAATTAAATATCTGAGTTCCCCTAACGTCTGTTTTATATGACCAAGTAAAATGGTGTCCGTTAAAGTCACCTAAAACTAAGGATTTGTGATTAAACTTGTAGAATAAATCCTCCCAGTCAGTTTGGCGGGTATGTACCCATTGAGGACAATAGATCGCAATTATATTTTCAATACGTCTGCAGTTAACAATCTTAACGTGTAATACTTGAATGTCTTCGTTATTAAGTACAATTGGACATATTTGAGCTTTAACAGATTTGTGTGTTATGATACTGACCCCCCCATAATTGTCTTGCCGGTCGATTCTAAAAATATTGTAATCCCGAATTTTGATGCTACTATTTTGATCAAGCCACGTTTCACAAACAACTGCTATATGTACCTTGTTTTGTATTAGTAGGTTTTCAAATAATAACAACTTTGGTCTCAAACTTTGCGCATTCCACTGTAAGATATTGATAACGGTATTATAAGTTGCATTGTTAACACTAGCCATTCTGTGAGTTACAAGTAATGCCAAACATTTTCTTAAGTAAAGACAAATCCGTAATATTAGCAATAACAGTCGATACAAACCATTGTAAAATAATTCTAACAGTTAAATTAATCTTTTTGAACCAATCATACCTTTCAGAAACTATTATCCGTTTAATTTTGTTTAATGAGGGCTTAAATGAACAATTAGAAAATAACATTTCCGGGTTCGACTGCATATTATTATGTTCTAATCCCTCGGCCGTACAGTTGCGCGTATTTGTTTCATTCTCAATATTATTGTGTTGTTCACTTGCGTCCTCGCTGCGACGTCGGCATCGCCGCCGGCGGCCACGGTGCGAACTGTTCGCTGCCTCAGTAGCAGGGCGCACGCCGTCAGCGACGGATGAGCGCTCCCCGCCATCCGACATGCATGACTCCGACGACAATGACTCATCGTGCAGTAGTCGCTCCGATGAGCAACGCTGTTTACGTTTGTTACTTCTGTGAAAGTCCTTTCCCATCTTGTCATGCTCCTGCTTGCCATTTGCTGCCACTACTGCAGCATATGACCTATGGTTTGAAATACCTTGTGTATACGTACCGCTGTTAAAGGTGTTTGGGTGGGAATTAGATGTAGTTTTTTCAAACTGTTCATTATAGCGAGGTGAAAAAGGTGGAACGTACATTGTTAGTGCCCGACGGTATGTACAGTTAAATTCCGACATTAACGCCCTAATTTTCTTTTCTTTAATAAAGGCAGGACAAGATTTGACTAAAGCCATATGGTTGCCTCTGCAGTTGACACATGTGTAGGAGGAAGTTTCACAATTTGGGTGATTCTTACCGCATTTGGGGCAAATAATTTTCAAGGACGGGCATACTTTTATTGTGTGCCCGTAACGCCAACAACGCGAACATTGGGTAACTGGAAACACATAAGGTACAACGGCGACATTGACGTCGTATATTTTAATGTACGGTGGGAGGTAGTTTCCTTTGAAACAAATGCGTACACTCTCGCTTAGAGACCACCCAGATTCATAATCTCGCCGCTTTAGCCGTTTTGCTGATAGAATCTCAAATCTGTTATCTCTTTTAATGCACTCTAATAGTTCTAAATCAGATAATTCTAAATCTATTTGCCTGATAATACCGTAGGACACATTTTTCTCCCACGTTTTCTGAACTCGCCATTCCTTTTCTTTAAAATTTTGACATTCTAATAACTTCGCGGCGCTTTCCTCGTTATCACAGCTGATAATAACTCTATAAGAATTCATGTACTTAACACGAGTAATTCCTGTTATATATTCGGAATTAAATAATTTGGCTAGCGCAAATTGTTTAGGTAACTTCTGTATACTAGAAATACTTATCTCAATCGTTTCAATTCTTCTCCTTTTCTCATTATTGCCAACTACTGTCCAGTTTTCGTCATTATCGTCCTCCTGTTCTTCTGTAATATGTACATTTTCCTCATCATTGTGTTGTTGGTTCTCATCCTGAATCATGATATCTTCCTCCATACCACTTTCTCCTATACTAATGTTCTCTATAGCTCCTCTATTTTCGTCTAATATATTCTCACTCATATTTTATATATATATGCATCGACGGTGCGCGTACGCGCCGGCGATAGGCAGATAGTAAATACCGATCACTGCACAATTATTAGCTTGCTATACGCACGTCCTAATCGCTCAACGAGAGAATGGACACTCGAGAATAAACTTAACTTTTAACTGAGTTGATTCACGACGCACCCAGTTTTTCTGAATGATTTATCAAAAATATTATGTTTTCTCTAAGTGTAGTGACGGATTAAGAATACAGTGTCATCACCTCTATTCATCCCCTGGGTGTCGTAACAGCCGACTAAGGGAAAAAACTACGCAGAACAACAGCACAGCAGAGATAAGGAAAACTTGACACAAACCCTATACCAACCCGTCTGGCCAGCGTGGTATAGTAAGGCAAAACCTCCTTTCTAAGGAGAGGTTTTGGTCCAGCAGCGGACTGTTAATGTGATGTGATTATGTTTTCAGAAAAAATGTCTCCCAAATATTTTACAAAACACTAATTAGACTTCTGAGGACTGTTAACCAATATTTTTTGAAGTGAAAACTTCTTTAGCGGCGTTGTACACTTTTTTTGTAGTGGTAAAAAATGTTAAACTCGCGTCAGGACACGTGACCTAATCGAAAATTCGTAAGACGAAAACTTCTTTAGCGGCGTTGTACACTTTTTTTGTAATGGGTAAAAATGCTAAACTCGCGTCAGGACGTTAATATTCAAGTTTTCACTTCTGCCGGCACTCCCGGAGTGCAACCTGTCGTTTTTTTTCTATATAATAAAGATGGACGGAGTGCTTAACACAATTTATCAATAACAGTTAACTCTATTTGCATCAATCGTTCCATTGCGGTCAATTTCATTTTCGATGAGATTGAATTCAGTTCGTTTTAAAACCCTTAAACTTATACATTTAGGAGTATTATAAAGAAAACCGCTAAATTAAAAATGAATTCAACTTTGACCTCGAATAATTTCTGACCGAATAGATTCATCGATAAATGATATCAGACATTTTTTGGAGAGCGTTCAATTCTAAAATATTTGGTAACCATTGCAGTGCAATTTATCGTTCATTAGTTATAAAAATCAAAAGATTTAAAAAAAAAAGTGACAGTTAAACTACACATATATTTAAAAATATGTATTGTCAGCTATCTAACAAGATATAATAGTCCAGGATAGTATCAGAATTCATAGAAAAAAACTTAGATGAAAGACCGGGAGTATTAAGAATAAGCGTACAACGCGGTAGTACCTGGTTGAAAACTTGCCTTGTATTTTTGAACTGTTTCGTTTTCTATTCATGACTAACTATTGCTAATAGAATTTTAATTTGTGCTTCTGATACTGTTGGAGATGATGACCTATGCGAACGATAAATATAATCATATATTGATTTCGTACGGATACTGCCAATGCGTATCACGCCTCACCCACTAACCCTGTATGTATTGAGGAGATGAAATATGGCTGAAATTTAATAAAACTTCAGTGGTGTGAGCATTTTTTATCAACTATGCACAAGTAAAATGGATCGATGATTAATCGATATACTTTTGCCTGTCACTATCATTTTGTAGGTATGAAACAATAAATTTGTTGCTTGGCGTAGACAGCACAGTTTTTTGTTATTGACGTGGCGGTCAAAGGGTTAAACAAAAGTTACACCTGATGGGATCATTTTATTATGTTTGTTTATCTCAGCTTAGTATAAGCAGGCATTTATACTTTATCAAAAAAAAAACATTAAGTCAAACTTTGTTTCTTGACTTTGCTATCAGGAGCATTGGGATTGGTTCCTTTATAAAACTGCTTTAACAAAGCCATCGCATCATCAGCTAATAAATTTCCTGTTAACATGTAGTTATGTTCATAAAAATCATTCACATCTAAAACAGTTTTCCCACCAAACCTGTCATTTGCACACCCATATATTACTTCTTTTACATTGAGATTGTTTAGTGCAGCTGCGCACATAATACATGGTTCCACAGTAACATACACTGTTACATTTTTAAAATATGCCTTAAAATCTATACTATTAAGCTTACAATATTCTAAAACAGTATCAATACAATTAATTTCAGCATGTCTTGTGGGATTACGTGTTGCATTCACTGTGTTTCTCGATTGTGCAATTATATCAGAACCAAATGTGAACACACAACCTACTGGCACTTCCTGAGCTGCTAACGCCTCAGAAGCTAACTCTAGGGCTTTTTTCATAATATCAACCATTTTATTTAGCTGTATGGCACTTAGAAGAATACCCTTAGAAACTACACAGTATGCACAGTGATATTATTTTTATAACTATTCTATTAATAATATTTTATTTATTAAAGCGATTTAATATATATTCCTAGATTCATTTGCGTAATACTTAAGAAGATCTGAATTTTTCAAGAGTTCCCTGGCTTTTTCTTCCCAGTTATTTTCATTGGCTGTTCTTGGGCTGGGATGTGGCAAATACAAGATCTGAAAAAAAGGAGAAAATCAGTATTTAAAAACTGCATAATGCAGTTGGTGGAGCCAAATCTATCTTTTTCCACATCATAGATCCGAGAAAGAATGTTCCGAAATTGTTTTACAGATATTAGGCACTTCACACTTTATTAAGTCTAATGCACTAACAATATTAAGTCTTCATAACTCCATACAAATCGGTTTCTCAAGTGCCTCCAGATGCATAAAAAATCAATATAATACCTTGATAAGTTTGATAAGATAACACTAAACAGAAAATATATGTTTTAATGGTGTTTATTTTTAAGCATGGTAAATTATCAACTTATAAAAATTGTCAGATTACATGTTAATCCTGTAAAAACCTTAGTACTTCTGTCTTAGTATCGGCTTCGCCTAGTATATGATTAGGCAGCCGTGTGATAGCTCTCAAGCTATTACTATTATTAGACAGAGCGCAAGCTGTTCCTCCGACTAAATCATTTCTCACAAATCTAGGATTTTTTGTAAATTAATAATTATATTATTAACGGCCAATTGAGATACGAGTTGATCTCGTAGTTGCGTCATATTCCTCTCTAATAGTAGTAGTATTCCTTACTGTGTGCACATTCGCTTGACTCTTTAAAATTATTTTTTTAAGTTCTAATGTGTTTCAATTTGTGCTGTAAGACGTTTCTTTTTGCCAAATTTCGTGATTCTAGGTCAACGGGAACTACCATATAGGTTTTCGACCCAAAACCTGTAGGGTACTTCCGGTTGACCTAGAATCGTCAATTTTGGTTAATAGCAAGGTTTTACAGCACAAGTAAAGAGAAAATTCTTAAAAAAATAAAAAAATTGAAAATTAAGGTAAATTTTGGTACATACAAGTTTTCGCGAAAATCGAAATTTGCCCATATCTTTTTAACGTGTTGACTCAGGACCCAGATTTTTATACACCTAATAGGGACCATAGACCTCAGATCTGGTACAAATTTCAACTAGCTAGGTCTACCCGTTATTGAGAAAATCGGTGGTGACACAGACAGTGACAGACGGTCAAGAAAGTGATCTTATATGGGTTCCTTTTTACCTTTTGAGGTACGGAACCCTAAAAAAGGAGACAGTAAAATCCATTATGGACCAAATTACACAGATATATAGCAGCTAAAATTAGGAATTATTAAGATACCAATTTTTAAAGCCTGCATTTAAGAGGAAAATAAGTTATTTTATGTTAGAAGATATTTGATTGGTCGATGGCAATACTAAGTATATAATATTATTTATTCATAGGATGAATCAATAGTAGGTAAAGCTTTTCGCCTGAACATGATGTAGTCTATCAATTTCTCTTTATATTTATAGAAATCCCAGAATTCTTCATAGCATACTCAAAGTAAACATAATCGTTATCCATATGTCACGCGTGACGCGTGAAAGACAATCTTCAAACTTGTCGTTTTGTTCTTATTCGGCCTAAACAGTATGCCAAAGCCAAGACGTTTTATAAAATATAATATTAGTCCTTAGGAAGTCTGTCCAAAAAACCATTTCTGGACAACTAGTCTATTAAAAAGTAACAATTGGGGGTGAATTTGTGAATATCAAGCAGGGGTTTGTGGAAAGTTATATAAAATAAAAGTTTAATTTTTGTGGGGTTGCAACTCTTTTTTCTGCTTTGTACATTTTTTTATTAAGTACATGAGCTTCTAGATCTGCAGTGATTTGGCTCGAACTCTATTTTGTAAAATCTATTGCATTAGAGAATACCGATGTTCTAACGTCACGACAAGCGTGATTTAAAAAAAAAATTATTTACTTTATCTTTATATTTCGAAACTTCCTTCTTCTGAATCGCTGGACCGTTTTTTTTTGCATATTTATTAGTTGGCGCCGCAGGTGGGTTTTAGGTTTATTATTTACTATTTTCTCTTTACAATATTTCATATCCTTTCTCTCTGACATTAGTCATTAGAATGTAAGTCTGTTGCGCTCTGACTTCTATAGAGCGTCGTGACCATTAATTCACAAACATATTCACCTGGCAGGCGCAAGTGCGATGCGAATCGTGACATTGATTGGCCGTTAACACCCTGAACATGGGTGTTAACGGCCAATCTATACAACCTATAAAAGTTATATTAGCTCTAAATTTCAGTCTTAATAAGTCATAAATCCCTATGACAACTTTGCTGTTTGTTTTTCACGTATTTTTTAATATTCAAGGGACGACGATTATTATCAAACTTTTAATTACCTGAATAGGCCTTAATGATGGATATTTTTCAAGTATCTTCTTTGCTCTTGTTTCACAGAATCTTCCAATAGCGACAATTTTTTGCACTTTATATAGCTCAAGAACTTTACTGAATATTGGATCACATATATTGTATAAATCTTTTATTTCACTGACCTGGAAATACAATAATAGTTTACATTAAAACACATAATACAAAAATAATCCAATAAATCACGTCGTAGTAGGACATAATGTGTGCGCCATACATAGGCACATATGGTTATGGATACCACGGTATGAAATCAGACCATTTTTATTTATATTTTCTGTGAAGAATGTGAGTGATGAGCATTATATATATAATTCTGGTAAATGGTCTGACTTCATACTGTGCCACTGGCCCATAGAAAACCAATGTTAGGCAATTCTTTAATGCTTTTCACCAAGTAAATATTATTACCGGAGGCCCAACGAGTTATGGTAACTAGGGCCATATTTCATTATGGTTCGTGTCGGGTATCGCGGTAAAAAAGTAGCCATGTTACTTGCTGATAATGTAACTTTCTAACTGGGGCCATATTTCTTATATTATGATTCTGCATTTTTTGCACGCTACGCACAATGACTGGCCTGGTGGTCTAGTGGTTAGTCGTCCTAACTGCTAAGCCAGAGGTCGTGGGTTAGGTTCCCAGACAAGACAAATAATTGTGATTGTGATTTGTTTGGTGTCTGAGTGTAATTTATCTATAACTAGATTTTGCAGGCGGCTCCGCCCGTGTGTATGTCGGGTATCGCGGTAATAAAAGTATCCATGTTACTCGCTGATAATGTAACTTTCCATTGGTAAAATAAATTTTAAAATCGGTTTACTGGTTTAAGCGTGAAAGCGTAACAGACAAACAAACTCACTTTCCCATTTATAATATAAGTTTGGAAGTAGATCGATAATAATATATAAATATTTAAACTGATATAGTTTTGTTTATTCGCAGTCCGGTAACCATAGTACGGGCCCTGACTAGTTTAGGATTAGACGTCCGTGTGTGAGATGTGTGAGGCTATTATTATTATTAGAACTAATTCCTTGATTATAACTAATTTTAGAAGGTTAATTACATACTTTAAACTCTCCCGGCGTTAGATTGCGTCCAGTCTTTGTCATCCACTGTTGAGGTAGGTAGTTGAACACAAAACTGGTCTTAAAGAAGTTTTCTGGAGTCCCACATAAACTTTTGAACAATCCCCAAAATCTCTTACCACTTATCTGAAACGAGAAGTTAATTATATAATAAAATTGTATATGTGAAAAGATTTACACTTTTACCAAAAATTACATCATGGCCACCTTAAAAATGGCTTTCGAAATGCGTCTCCAAAATTTTATTATGAACATCGCATTTTTTGAAGTTTGCTTTGCAGAAAATTATATGCGCTAAGAAGGACTTTGAATTTAAAAGTAGGAGCCATGCTTCGGAATTCGACCATAGTGATATCATAGCCTCACAGTAAACCGGTATTGAGCAATTCTTTGCCATAAAAAGGGATTTTTTGCGTCATTTAATGTTGCGGGTGCGCTCGTTTACTGGCTGTTTGAGAATAGTAATCAGATCACTCTTATGCATACATATGTCAACATTAGGCTATCAATGACATAGTCTGTCGACCTTGTCACCGCAAGAAACACCGTGAAATCGAAGTTGCCGTCCAAATTTTTTGTAGGCGCTAGACATTATTTAAGGAACCCCATTTTTGCATAAAAAGATATCAAATTTTCAACATAAAATATTTGATCCCGAAGAAAATATTTAGCAGCGTGGTCACTAATTCAATTCGAGTTCGATTCTCGGACCGGGCAAAATTTCATAGGGTTTTTCTGAGAGATAAAATAGCCTGTAATAGCAAGAAATATACTGTAGTTAACGTAAAACCCAATTTTCACTGATATAATTATTACAAGTTTACCTAATCAGGGATTTTTTCTACTACGCGAGGTGTGTTTAGTCCAGCGATAGATATTGCATACTGGTTCTAAAATGTATTATTCTGTATATATTTTGTAAAGTGTAGAGTCATCAAATCATGTACGAACTTGTACATATTCCAAACCCCGAAAAGAAATTATCAGGCAGCAGAATGAAAATCGCTGTTACGTAGAACATGGTTAAAACTATAAGTAGTAATAAAAACTAAGTGTGATAAGGCTAATAAAACTTTATTAACCTAATCACACTTAGTTTTTATTTGTTATACAAAAATGTTAAACTCAAAATCAAATTGCACGTCATTGTTCGTGAACTCCGTCGATGAATACTGCTTGGCTTTAGTCGCTGGTCTCACTGCTGACGTTGCTGGCTGGGGCCTAGTCTTGGTCTTCGCCACCGAATATGACAGAAAAATATTCTGAATAGGTCGACCAGAGATTTCCAACGTGGATCCCTTGGGTCGAAATTGGTTTTCCAGGGTCGACATAAACGAAAACGGATTTTGGGGGTGGACGAGGTCTAAAAATCGACCCCTATTAATTAACACAAGTTCTTATTTCACATAGTTTGAAACTTTCAAGATACTGTATTAGTTGTGTTACGTGTACCATCTTGTTATAAGAATTTAATCTAATTAGCATTATTGAAAACATTGATGCTAATTAGATTTTATTTAATTCATTGCGGAATTTTATGTCTTAGCATGTTAATTGCTAATACTAATATTATTTGCTAATATTGCAATTTCGTTCGGGAAATAATGCAATACAGAGTTTGTTCGTGATATGCTAGCATATAGCTTGGTCAATTCGTCACTTAACACTATCTATTTAAAAAAATATCTCTATCTATTCATTAAATCTACCCCTATTCATCCCGTGGGTATCGTAAGAGCCGACTAAGGGAACAAACTACGCAGGACAACTGCACTGCAAAAAGAAGGAAAACTTCAAACATACCCTGTACCAACCCATCTGACCAACGTGGTATACTCGTAGTAGGTTAAACCTTCCTTTCTAAGCAGCGGCCGATGTTTAGCAGTGGACCAGTAAAGGTATCAACATGATTAAAAAAATACAATTTACAACGCTCACGTCACACTCTTCAAAACTGAAATTACTTAAACCTACCCGATAATTAAATTTCTTATTAACAAATACTATATAGGTACCAATTCTATGAACAACTATAAACAATTTAACAAAACACTAGGAGAAAATAAAGGCATTCAAAACAATACCTAATCTCCCGGCCACTTGCTAATGCTAAAAATTCAATGAATGATATTAAATACATATTTATGCAATAAACAATCCTAAATCCTAATCCTAATTTTAATCCTTAAAATAGACAATAAAATCCTTTGCAATCTCATTCAATTCCCATGTTTGATAGTCTGTTTTAACTTTAGCCGATAACATCATGTAATCTTTTTAAATTGTAGCTATTCGGATATGATTTTACTGGTATTTGAAAGTTGGCAATTGTCGTATTAATGTGTTAATATTTCCCAACATGAGATGTTATTTTTCACACTGATAAAAAGATGCTGTAAGAAAAAATTCAGGCCCACCCTTTAGTTTGGTTTTCAAATTTTGCATTTTTTGGCAGTTTGATATGGCAGGATTGTTGTGGACAGTTTCAGTATATACAGTAATATAGTAAATATATCAGTATATTTTCTGGTGGCACTATTGTTCCTGCATATAGTCTTGATATTTTGAAAGTTAGTCACTAGCTAATTTTTTCTTTTCTCAAAGCCAGCCTACTCATGCAGACGAGTGTTATGTTCTCCTATAGAAAGTACTTCTTTCAAGAATGTTGTTTCATTGTATTGTATTGCTTGTTGGCACCATAATATTCAATGAAGTGGTAAAAAAATATATAAAATTACATGAATGAAACCTATCTACAATTATTTTTATGTTCTTTATTTTAGGTGTGCTAATTTTTTAAAAGGTAGTCTTGGGCAAATTAATAATGTTGTTGTTGGTATTTGTTTGAGAGTCTTCAATAATAAGTGGACTGTGTTTTATAAGTAATTTATTCGGTTCAAACTCTGATAACATGGCCGCTCGGTCGGGCGATCCAAAGGCAAGTGTCATGAATTTGTCTAACAAAACGTTCGTCGCGTCGGCTCGGCGCGGGAGGCGGCTCGGCGCGGGAGGCGGCTCGCCTCCCCGCACCCCGCAGCGCGAGGTCCCGTGCGTTCGGATCCACGCGCAAACAATAAATTTGGGATATTTTAATTAACTCAGTACTAATTATATTTTTCAACAGTGTTAAAAGTAATGCTAATAATAGAGTAGGCCAAAACCTCTTTTCTAAGCCCTATGTCTAGCAGTGGACTATTAAAAGGCTGTTGATGATGATGATGATTGATGAAAAGGCATACTTTCAGACCATGCAGTATTGGTTGTGGGCTCCGATTTCCGCATTTAGACCGACCCATCTATGCTTTAAAAGTTAATAAGGATCATTTACATTTCACAAAAATAATAAACATAAACAAACAAATGTAAAGTAATTAAAAGGTCTGCTCTTCTAAGTTCGTATTAAGAACATTATAATTAATTATACTTACTTCAGATCTACCACACTCAAAGCCCATAACCGGGCGTTGAATAATTTCTTGAGGAGGTTTCCCAACAGGCCCATGTATCCCCAACCAGTCTCTGACTGCAGGTATTTCACCAAATGGTACCTGTCCAAATATTTTTAAGATAAATATATTGTACTTAAGTTAAACCATACTGAAAATCACAATGATACAAGTAGTAAAATCGACACATGCACACTATGGCTATTAAAGTAACTAATCATTACTAAAATTATATCAGTTTGTTCTGAGTTCTTACTCCAGTTTGTGACATTCCCCACGGTCCAGGATTCATGCCAAAGTACATAATAGTTTTTGTAGTGTTACAATATTTTTGTACATACATTTCAAATGTATGTTTAGCATAAATAGTAGGATTGTACACAACTTCCACTTCAGCGGGCAAGTGAAACTGGTCGAGGTGAATATTTAATTCATCTATTAAGTTTAAAAAATCTTCGCCAACTTTGCAATTCGAGGAAGTCGGTCCTTTGCAGAAAAACGATGACACTACATTTTGTTCTAACATTATGAATTAAATTTAAAATATCAAACAAGCACGTACCACCTTACTTATAAGACTATGTAACGACTTACTTTAAAATAAATACGCAATCATCTACACACGAAACTGGATTTCAACTAAATAAAAACATAAAATTTGTTTTTGTTTGACAGTTTCAAAGGGAAGTGCGAAATTAATCGAGAATGAGAATCATATTAGCTATCGATTTTAAATGTCAATAGGGATGTTGCCACCAGATGACACTCATCATTTTAACGAAATGATTCATGATGATCGGGATGATATCTAAATTAGACGAGAAAATGAGAGGAAAGACATTATATCTTTCGTCTCATTTTCCTTCAATTTGTGGAAATTCATGTAAAGATCACTATTTGATTTGAGCAATGAGCACGCGCTTTCTTTATATATTATAATCATCATCACATCAACAGCCTTTAATAGTTCACTGCTGGATTTATGCCTCTCCTTAAAAAATGTGGTTTTGGCCTACTATACCACGCTGGACAGACGGGATGATTTGGGGTTTGTATCAAGTTTTTTTTCTCTTTTCAGTGCTGTTGTCCTGTGTAGTTTGCTCCCTTAGTAGGTTCTCATGACACCCACGGTATGAATAGGAGTGGTGATACTCCGTATTCTCAATCCATCAACACACGGATGAAATTATAAACAAGTCTTTTCTTTCAAATAAGTACCCAATTACATCAAAGGTTCAATATTAATTTAAAGAAAGATATACAACAACTGTACCTTTGTGATGTAACGCAGTGGCGCAAGCGGCCGGCGCATTGGTCATTTTAGTCAAAAGTTATTATACTTCCTTTTCGTAAATTTTCCAGTTTAAAATAGTGAAAGCATGGCTTAGCGTAAGTATGGCGTAACTGAAAGAATTCCTAGATTGAAGAAGATTTTTATTAAAGATAATTTTCATTGATCATTCACTTTTCCAATAAAACCTGAATCACTTTTTTAAGGATGGGTATCCCAGATCACATACCTAATAATAATATATATTATTTACTGAACTCTCTCCCACGTATAAAATCAACATGAATATCTTGAAGTGATAACTTCTTATGGGAGGGTAAACCGCTTCGTCATGTAACGCGTTACGGCGCCAGTCTGTCTGGTTTCCCTTTCTCTCACGCATACGACAG